TGCTAGTTATGAATATATTTGTACATGTATTATGGTCACTAGTGATCTTTTAAAAGTAGGTTTAGTAGTAAGATAAACAAATATATACATATGTGGCATAACATTATAAAAGTTTAATATATTTATTGACATATCTAATCTAATATATTTAAACGAGCAATTCTTGTACATTTATTGATTTATATTTACCGGCAATCTCGGAAACGCCTCTAACGATTTCGCTGAAATTTGGTACGTGGGGGTTTTCAGGGGCGAAAAATCGATCTAGATTAGTCTTATGTCTGGGAAACTGCGTGTTTTCGAGTTTTTATGCGGTATTATTTCGCTTTATTCCACGCAAAATATGGTCGCTAATTTCGCACTCTAGGGCATAGGGCATAAGCATCGTGGTCAAGCGGCCAAGGCGCAAGGTTGACAATTACAGGTATCCGGGTTCGAATCCCGGTCGGATACAAAGTTTTTATTTTTTTTTGTATTTATTCAATTTTTAAGTGTTTTTTTATCAAGAAAAATTCGATATAACAAAAAAGAACTCCGAGCGAAGCTCGGTCACCCAGGTACAGTATATTAATTATGCTATAAAGTAATTGCAACATGATTGGAAAGTAATAGAAAATAACCGTCATGAAAAGTTTCCATAAATTATAGTTTGGTCTAGTTTTTCAGGACAGAATTAATGTTTTCTTTCAATTTTAGGAAAATGATAATGATCACGCACTATGGTTTTATGATATGCCTATGTAGAAATAGAGGCTGCCTAAAAACTAATCTTATAATAATATATTAAATGAGCTTTAGGTATATTTATTACTTTTTTCCAATTATTCTTCCATTATTAAAAAATATTAAAACCTTTCTTTGAAGGTTTGACAAATTTTCTAAGAAAATGAGACAAAAATAAAATATTTTACTTAAACAGACAAAAACTTGAGAAAAAACCATAAAAAAATATTACAGGAAGTTACAAAATGAAAAACGAAATGTATACTGAAAAATGTTGTTTTACTCCCTCCAAACATGGAATCGTGTCACGTTTTTGCCAATTTAAATCGTAAAATGCAGCCACTTAGTTTACTTAAAACTTTTGATTTAACGATATTCTACGTGCTTATAGGAATTCCTTCTTTTTAAAGAATAAAGACGACATTCGCTAAAGTCAACTGTAGGAAATTTTCCAAGAAACTTGCTGTTTGTGCACGCAATTTTGACATAACTGTAATTATAGCATTAGGGGAAATATTTTCAATAATAGATGCGAGCAACAAAGGCCAGTTGTAATAAGCAAATAAAAAAAAAACTTTTGTGAAATAATTATGTTGTAGATGAATGCCAATTTACGGTTACTTACCTAAAGTTTATTTAAAACTTATATAGTTAATAAAGCTTTTACTTTATGCTAATCAGCCAAACCTGAAGTAAAATTGTTTTTTAGGTATATTGTAGCGCTTATAATTCACTCAGGGGCTGACCGTGAATTTGGGCCATAAGGCATAAACCAATTCACCTTCGCTTCGCTCGGGTTCATCCATAGGTACGTTTTAAAGGTTAGTATGGAATAGATAGACTATATATAATATGATATATAGCTTTCCTGAATAATCGAGCTATCTAATGCAAAAATAATTTTTCAAATCGGATTAATAGTTTCTGAGATTAGCGCATTCAAATAAACAAACAAACAAACAAACACACTCTGCCTTTTTATAATATTAGTATAGATAATGATAGATACTTAGAATACTAACTGAAATTTAGATAACGTTATTATCTAAGAAAATATACTCGTAACAAAGAGAAATGCAAATGATGTGAATATTGTTTCATATAAAACAATACACAATATACGAGTACATTTCTATAGCTATCGATCTATTTATGGGCTAGCTTGTGAGTGAGTGTATTAAATACTTCTTTCTGTAACGTCGCATCAGATTTCATTGAAATTGGAATAGAGATATGTAGTTTATAACCCTGTATTAAATATATTTTTCGCCATCATTGTTACGCGACAAGAGCCGCGTGTTAATACAACTTTAGTATATTTTAAGGTGTGTGTATTCAGCCCTTTTTTTAAGTTCCACTATTGGACTCGGGCCTCCTTTCAATAAAAAGGGTCATAGCCATAAGGATGGGGCCAAAGTCCACCACGCGGGCCAAGTGCAGGTTGGTGGACTTCACATGTCTTTCGAAAACTTGCTAGATTCTCTCAGACATGCAGTTTTCCTCATGATGTTTTGCTTCACAGTGGGAATTTTTTTGGAAATAATTCGCACATGAAAATATCAGAGGTGCGTGACCTAGGATTTGTACCCGCGTCACTCGGTTTCCGAAGCGAACGCGTTACCATTGGGCTACCATTGCCTAATAAAAAAAAATTTTAGTTATATAAATAATATGTAATTCTATGATTAAATATTGGTTTTATGAGTTTTGACTCTACATTGCTGAAACATGAATATTTTGGGGAATATGAGTAATCGTAGTGAGTAGGAAAATGCTTTAGGTGTAGTGAAACAAAATATAACCATCAATGTATTTATTTAACTTTCACAAGTAGTTGAACAGTGACTCTTGCAATAAAACACCAAACTAAATAAGTACTGCAATTTGTATCATATTTATCTTATATTCTAATAAAATCGGATTGTTTACATTAATATACAAAATATTTAATGTTGTACACATATAAAGTACATAAAAAAATCGAGAGAAATAGTACCTATAATAATTTAAATACGCTAAAAGACTAGATATTGTAAATTTGATAAGACCAAGAATAGAGAGCTTTGAAAACTATATTATGTTACTACTATTATACTACGTAAATTGGTAATTGGTTTCGCTCGGGTATGTCTCTAGGGTACGATTTTTTCTCGATTTCATGGGTTTTAATTTTTTTGCGCGGAACCCTGATTCTTTTTCCAAAATAAAAGTAACCTAAGTTACTCCTTATACCATTTAGCTATTTGCCAGTGAAAGTCCCGTCAAAATCGGTACAGTCGTTTCAGAGATTAGCCAAACAAACAGACAGATAGACAGACAATTGAATTTGAATTGATTATTTTAAAAGTCCCTGGTGATCGATTCTCTCAGTACTTATACTTGCACATAAAAAAAATATACTGTATCAAAAGTATTCGCTTTATTTATCATATTATAATATTTAAAATAATAATATAATTCATATTTTATATTAATTAATAACTCTATTATAGTCTAGTACTAACAAACATTTTTTATACTTACACTTTTTGAGCTTTCTGTAAGTTTAGTTTTCGTAATCGTAATGTCATTGTAAGTTCAAATATGACGAATTTCAATCGGTTTGATGTTTTAATAAAAGTTCAACGGAATTACCTGCTGAGTAAAAATCTTAAAATTATTATTAATTATATATTATTATTGTTTAAATATTATATATATATATATATATATATATATATATATATATATATAATTATTGTTAAAAACTCGTAGCTTTACATATTATGAAACCATTTTATTTTTTTGTTTTATAATGCGATATTTCCTTAACTACATAAGTACATACATATATAATGTAAACTAATATTAAAAAGCTGAGAAAATCTCTCTCTGAAGGAGATCTCTGAAAATATGTTTTTGCATTTATATATAATAGGTTGTCTGGAAGTGATCACTTTAATCGATAAGGCCGCCTTTACACTGAAATATATAGTTGTAAAATTATGTATTTTTAAATTGTATTTTTGTTTTGGTGTAATAAAGGATTAATAAATAAAACAAATATAGTCAATTTACTGAGAAAACTAATCTGTCTCTAATCTAGGATATCTAACGCTACGACCCTTCGGGACAGACATTGTATATGAAGAAGATACGCAGGCGGAGTCGTCGGTAAAAGCTGGTATATATCAATACTTATATTATGTGTTATTATTTAACTGCCTCAGTGGTGTAGTGGCATGTACGGCTGCACACCCGGAGGTCCTGGGTTCGAGTCCCGGGTCGGGCCAAATTTAGTTATTGAGTCTTTCTGTATAGTAATTCTCAGTAACAGCCCGGAGTTAGGAAGTTGGAGGTGTTTCACCCCCGTGCCTCGGAGAGTACGTAAAGCCGTCGGTCCTGCGCCTTAACTCTCACTGGTCGTGTTGAGCAGTCGTCCCACCGGAGTATGAGAGTGACAGGAATAGAGAGTGCTCGTTGTGTCTGCGCGTACACTTGTGCACTATAATATCTCCTGCGTAGTTGGCTAGTCTCAATGAGATTGGCCGCCGTGACCGGAATCGGTCGGGAGAACATAATCATGCAGTTTTTATATTTAGAGAGCCGATTCTTTTGATCGGTTATACTGTGATAACTACTGAACCGATCGGAATAATACTCATACCATAAGATGCAGCGTGTTTCGGAGGTTTTGGTATATGATATCGTTGGCTCACAATTACAAGGTTCTATGTTACAATTTTAGTACTTATTTAGTTATTAAAGCTACAAGGATCTATGTGTCATTAGCTACAGTTTTGCAAAAACAAACCACTAGATAGCGGCACTTTAACTACAAAAAATTCAATTTTACATAGTTCTATGTTATTTTTTTTACGATAATAAAATAACGAAGTTCTATGTAAAAATTACTAAACTTCATTATAATTAACATAGAACCTTGTAATAGTAAGCCAACAAATTATGTTGGTGATTAATGTACTATGCGACCGGAGCCGCAGGACAACGTTAGTACATATCAATAGGGGAAATTTACTATTTTGATATTTTATAACTAAATCAAACTGTCAAGAGTCTTTGTCAAGTTGATTTTACTTTTTCTCGAGGTGGCGCGATATAAGAATCGGTGCATAACTGGATATTTTTTTTCGAATTGTATTCATAAACCAAAAATTAATACAAGTGTATAAAAATAAATAATTAATTGTTAGATTTATGTAATAAGTTTCTAATATTGTTCTTTTGTATATATAATATTATTAATATTTATTTATAATAAGTTTGGTCTCAGCTCAATTGGTGGAGAGAACAATCTTGGCAGACCCGTTATCCCCCGGCAGCACTATTGACAGTGACTGGAGATAAAGTAAACAAAATATTATATAAATAGTTCAAATATAAATTACAGTTGTATTTGTAAAGTTATTAAATTGTTGTAGGTACTTGATATGCTAACATTATATATTAATAGGTATTTACGTGATAATGTATGGGATTAATCACAGCGAATAAATTGAGTCAAAACTCGGAACTTTCATCAGTAGCCATTGAAGTGTTCTACTATCCAACTCTTGCCTTCATTATGAGATCAGCTTAAAAATCATTAAAATATTATTTTAACTTGGATGTCTCTTACATAGTTTGACGACTCGTTTGGCACAGTTTGTAGTGACCCTATTTGCTGTGCCAGAGTTCGCGGATTCGAGTCCCGCTGGGGACATTCAATTGTGTGATGAGCACGAATGTTTGTTCTTCAGTTATGGATGTTTATATTTATAATATGTATATATTTAAAGTTATATAATATGTGTAGTGTATCAACTATCTGGTATCCATAACACAAGCCTCGTAGCTTACCATGGAACTAGATGGCGCTGTGTGTTATTGTACAACATATTTATTTATAGTTTCAAATCAATAAGTAAAATCGACAAGTTCCAAAATTTGATGTCATAATCAAGTGAAGCTAATAAAATCTTGTTAAAAACGTAGAGGTATTGATAGAAGCCGATCATTAATAAGTTACGGATATTTAAAAAAAAAGGAAATTAATACTTGATTAAAGCATTTAAAATAATAATTTAGAGTTTTACTATATATCTTTTATTAAGTTTAAAAAACAAATACGTAATGTTTGTTTTTTGTGTGTATGCTTATTCCATATCATTGCCAATTAAAAATATTTTTTGTGATTTTTTTTCAAACGTGGAGATATGTAATGCAAATGCCCAATGGTGATTTTTTGAAAGATTAAAATACTTTTAAAATAAAATTACTGTTAAAGCGATTAAAAGTAATTATTTAATTATTATTATTCATATCCTCACCTGATTTTCCGAAACAGAAGAAAACTTCCGCTTAGACTGAGCGCTGGCTCTGCTGCTTCTTCTTCTACCTTCTTCTAGAGGTTTAATATCTTCATTAACATTACTCTTTCTCCTTCTTAAATGTCCATTCTTCATCTCATTTTCTTCCTCTAGTTTCTGTCTAGCTTGCCTCGCAGCGTTCTCTCGGATGATCTGATCCGCTCTACGTCGTAATATTTGCGCGGCTTCAGTGTGATGTTCTAATGCGGTTTCAAGATCGTTTCGTGATAGCGCAAAGAGACTCGAATAACCACGTGATCTATTAAAATATATAATTATTATCTATACATATAATAAAATGGTAACTAAGTCGAATCTGTACATTAAATATTTTGGGGGAAATCTAATTGAAATAGACATTATTTTCGATACAGAACTCGAATCTATAATTTTTAGAATTTTTGTCTGTCTGTCTGTCACTGCATCACGAGAAAACCACTGGACAGATTTTGATGAAATTTGGTATGATGATAGCTGGTTATCCGGGTCAACATATAGGATACTTTTTACCGCGGGAAAATATCTCATTTCTGAGAAAAAATACAAAAACTGCAATGTAAGAGTATAATAATCTGTAAAACCTAAGAATTTTGTTTTGGGTCATCTGAACGCGGGCGGAGCCGCAGGCAATACTAGTTAACATAATATTATGAAAAATTTCCTAATATAAATAGAAATTATAAAAAATAATATATTCAGGAATTAACCCATATTTTTGTTTAAATGTTAATTTGATAAGCTTGTAATTCATTCGTAAAACAGACAAACTATAGTATTTAAAGTTGTACCTACTTGTGTCGCCCCTGGGCATAGTAAAAAATGCCGACCTGTTATCGATATTTTGAATAAAATGTTGAAAGTTTAAATTTTTTAGTTGTAAAAATGTACCTACTAGTTAATCTTTTTTTATTTTTTATTTCTCGTAAAAAAGCATTTTTGATAAAGCGAAGAAAAAAAAATAAATTTCCTACCCTCCGAATTTTGCGCCCTTAAAAATTTGTCGCCCTGGGCACTAGCCCCGAGTTCCCTTAGTGTAAATTCAGCGCTCTGTAGTAATTAACATTTGAATATTATCTGTTCTATATAGTTTTCTTTTTTGCGTCGTGTAGCCAGATAGTTATTATTATTATGAATTATAAATGCAAAAACAATGATATGAATGAAGTAAAACAGCTTACGTATACCGTGAATTAACTTTAAGCTATTTTTATCGACATACCTATCATGCGAAACAAGAGCCATTAGTACACTATACAAATATAAGATGTACCTATACACTATAGAGTATACAATATACATACATTTATATAAGATTTTTATTGTCAGGATTTTACATATAAAGTTTCAAATAGACACGACAATTTGATACAGATTAAATTGATTTCCTTCGATTAGCTACAAGTGAAGCGTAATAAAAGTATAATAAATAAAAAAAAACTTTATTGGAGTCGTTTTAAAGAATTACAGTTTATAAAATTATGTCCGATAGAGACATACTATATTAGTTAAAAACTGTTTCGTAGTTAAAATGAGATTTTAAAACTGGCGCCCAACGTGGGACTTGAACTTACATGACAGTGGCAGTGCGACGTCGGAGCCCGTCGATGCCCAAGAGACTGATCTCCCCGAACACGGAGCCCTCGCATAGAGTTGCTAACACTTCTTTTTCATCTGGTGACATCACCTAGTGTTAAAAATGTTAATTTTTATCATTATTTTTGTATTTCTATATCTATACTAATATAATATTATATTATAAAAAGTTAAAGTTTGTAAATTTGTGAGTTTGGGTATGTAGGGGGTAATCTCTGGATCTACTAAACCGATTTAGATGAAATTTGGTAAGAAGATTGTTTGAGACCCTGGAAAGGACATAGGATACTTTTTTTCACGGAAATCATCCCTTAAAAGGACGAAAATGTGGATGAAAGTTTGTATTGGGAAGCAAGCTAGTAATTGATATATTAATATGAATTTTGTATTGTTGAGAAACGTATAGTGAAAATTTTTACCTAATTTAATAACATTTTACTTTCATTTAATACTGTTACGTTCTATGAGTTCGGGGATCAGAAATTAAAGCACGTCTTTTGCATTACTGAGGTTTTATTGCTCTTGGTTAACAAGAGTGACTTATGGAAATTCACTAACACGCGCAGTACATACTCGTACATAGTTCTGGTTAAACCACAGAGCAGAAACAAAGTTCTGCTCTGTGGGTTAAACTTAGTCACTGAACACTAATTTTCACCACTGGATACACTTTCACGATAACTTTACTTTTCTTCACTTTTCACTTTTTCGTAATTCTTCTCAATTTACACTTAGCTTCGAAATTCAATTGATCTCTTTACACACTGTCGGCCTTTTTATAAGCGTAAATAAAGAACATTCTAGTAATATATTATATATATGCCATTTCCGAATGTTTTGTTCCTGTCGATAATTTCTCATATAAATGATGTGTAAAATAATTTAAGTAGAGTATATTTTTGATTATGTGTAAGAAATTTAAATACAATACGCAAAAGTAGAAAAAAAATACAAAACCAACTAATCTGTACTAATATTATAAAGAGTCAGAGTTTGTTTGAGCGCATAAATCTCAGGAACTAGTAATCAGATTTGAAAAATTATTTTGCATTAGATAGACCGTTTATTGAGGAATGACTATCTATAGGCATATACCTGTATCATCTCGGAAAATTGTACGATTCCTGTGGGATAGATTTGTTTTTGTCTAAGGACGAACCCGAAGAAAAGTGAGGGTGAGTCGGTAATATAATAAAACATCTTTACATGACACTCTCCACTCTTAACGATGTACATGTGGTGACCGACGTCCCCGCGCCGCACCACGGCGTCGCCCGGCAGGAAGGCCTCGGGCCGCAGCTGCAGCACCAGGTCGCGCAGCAGCGACGCCGAGCAGTCGCGGAACAGCTGCACCTGTCGTATCGATTAGAGGTCGCCCATTGACCACGTTATGTGTTTTAACCACTTTTTAGCAAGTCGGTTAGCAAAATTATTAAGATTATTTAATATTATTAGATTAAAAATTTGAAATTAGATTGAATAATAGAATTCGAATTTAGGTGAAAACATTCTACGGATTCCATCTTTAGAATGTTTTACCTCACATTTTATTTCAAAAGTGAGCGAGCTACCACTACAGTACCTTTGCTTATGTCGTTAATTAAAAGTAAAAAAAAAATAATAATTAACTAAAGAAAAATTAAAATTCTCATCGTTATTTACTTGTACCAAATTAAATAGAAATAAAATAAATTACCTTGCTCAAAGTCGACATATGCACTTCGAGGGCAACATCCCGCTTCATATTGTAAGGCAAAGAGTTCAGTATTTTTGGTTCATCTGTTAAAATGTTATAATATTATTTATCACAAGATTATTTATAACAAAAGCTCGGTCTAGAATATTTTAAAATTAATTAATGAATACCAAATTTAAATAAAGCAGTAAAACATTAAAATAAGGCATATTAGGCATATTACAATCATATATTTATAGAATATCGTATACGGAAAGAATATAATATTACATATTTATCAGACAATAACAACAGTTACCATGATAACATGGCAATGTATTCTATGTCATTCTCTCACCGGATTAATTCTATATATTTATGTTTGTCTATTTTAGTGTGGCATTTTCGTTTCATCGAGTTTCAAATCACAACGATTCTAAAGAAGTTTCATTTAAAAATATTTAAAACTATGAGCTTTTTAATAACTTTAATTTCACAAATATAATATTTGTAAGAATAGTATATGGTATGTTTGTTCTTCTTATTCCAAAATTTTCCAGGTTTTCGGATTATTACAGACTATATAAAAAAACCATCGACTATACCACCCCAGTCGTCCCCTAATGGTACGCTTACCAACAAACAGCATAATATTATTTTTACCTATACCAATATTATAAAGAGGTAAAGTTTGTGAGTATGTAGGGGGTAATCTATGGATCTACTAACCGATTTAGATGGAATTTGGTAAGAAGATAGTTTGAGACCCTGGAAAGGACATAGGATACTTTTTATTCCGGAAATCAGCTCTTAAGGGTGTGTAAATGGGGATGAAAGTTTGTATGGGGAATCAACCTAGAGGACGACCCGAGGGTGAGTCGCTAGTTATATATATTTAGAAAGAACGATTCATTTTACCAAAGCACCGCTGTTGGTTCCACGTGTAGTTGAACCAGCACGCGACGCGGCGCTGCAGCGGCACCGGCAGGTTCAGGCGCCGCATGTACTGCGAGCAGCCGTCGATGTTCTTGCGGTACTCCGTCTGGAACGCTCCAGAATACAGTGGAATGTTCCAGTGTAAGGGTTTTAAATAAAACTAGCTTCTTGGATTTTTTTGTGAATTTATATAGATTTTTGTTTCCCGACGTTTCGCATGCTTTAAACTTTAAAGCAAACATGGTCACGGAAGAATATGTAATAATATTCGCGTAAATCTAAGAAAGTAATGTGTAAAAGATTTTAAGAGTTTTTTGAATTGGATTTTTAAAGGATTCGCGTGGAAAGAGTTTGATTTATCATGTTAAACTATAATTTTTTCTTGTTTTATCATGCTAACAACATGTCTAATTGCAATAGCAGAAATATTCACACTGCGAATCTTGTGGAGTAACCCTTTCCGGTGATTGAACAAATCATTAACGAACGTTTTCATAAGTTATTTTATAAAACTTATATAAATAATTAATTCTAATTAATAATACAAATAGTTTATTAGCTAAAGACAATCATTGACCGATATTACAATGTAATAATCTATAAATAAACTGAATATTCGTATGTTTGCCCTCTATGCTTTTCTAAACCCTTGATCCGATTGTGATAAAACTCTGATGCATTATTCTGTATACGCCTGCAAATATTTCTGGCATATTTTTTTTTTTAAACAAAACTCGTCTGAAAAAAAGTATCCATGGACAAAGATACTTACTTTGGCCCTGGTGGCAGTTGCAATTATATCTCGAATCTGTCCAATGAGCAACGCGAACACGAAAACTCCCATGAGCCAAGCGGCCGTCATGAATAGATATTCTGCTGTATTTTCTGGCTTCGGATTCTTTCCTTAATTAAGAAAATAATAAAATGTTATCCAGGAATCTACATAAAAGCATATTATTTATCTAACATCGAAGGAACAAATTAGATCAAATCAATTACAAAAAATCTAATACAGTTTTAGAAGAAATTATGAATCGTCAATATTTAGATTTGTTGCAAATTAATCACTATATTAATATATATAATATATAAGTACTACTCTGTGAATAAGGTTGAAAGTATAATAATTACTATCTTTACATATAATAATAGTGTAGCTGATCGCTTTCTGTATGTGGAAGATATTTGAGATAAACCATTATTAAGGGTCTTTATTATATATTAAGACGATAGAACCAAAAACAATGATTTATAGAATTTTTGTGTCTGTCTGTTTGTCCGCACAAATGCGCGCTGAACTCAGAAACGGCTTAACCGATTTGGATGCGGTTTTCACTAATGCGGTTTTATTTCAAATAAAAATGTTATGTCAATTTAAAGAATCATAATAGTAACAAATCTCTTAATTGATTAAATTTATATCTATCATCTACATATATTAGCTGAAATATTCTAAGTTTCTATTTCAAACTAACTTACCAATAGAAGTAGCAGTTTTGGTAGCAAAATAGAAACATCTGATGTAGGCGTTGCCGACGTTGTCGTACACCCAGCCGTTGGAGGCGAGGCCGATGTGCGCGCTCATGGCGTAGTACGCGCACGCGTTCAGGTGGATCAAGTAGAAGATGTAGAATAGAGATTTTCCGATACGCACCTGTATGTATTAGAGGTGGAAAATATGGAAAACTATTTTTATTTAATGCTAGCGACTTATCCTTGCTGTAGCAGCATGCCCTTTTAGTAGCCTAGGTGTTATTCTAGGTCATAATGTATATGTATTATACTAAATTTCATCAAAATCTGTCTAGCCGTTTCAAAGTGAAGGAGTAATAAACATATGAATACAAAACACACGCGTGCACTTACATGTAAACACATTATGTTTGATGTTCATATCATTAGCATGATCAATTTAATTATTCAAACATTTTTATTTTCCTTTTTTCAATGTATGAATACTCTGTTGTCTATTCTATGAGTTATAGACACACACAAACACACACGCACGCGCACGCACGATCGTCCGCCCGCCCGTATAGAATGAGGTAAGTTTCATCGAGTGAATCTCACAATATAAGAAGGTAGAATCCATTTTAGAAAGCGACCTAGTGTTTAGAAGCGGTAGTTATAAAATAAAATTTTAAAAAATCAATAAAAACGCTATATTGTTTATTTTAAAATTATAATAAAATAAAAAAAATAATACCTTTAATTTATTTAAGACACTAAATACAAACTAATAAACTTTAATTATACGAATTACTTTTAATGTAAGTAATAGCTTACCACATAAGGTGAAGATAAAACGCGATCCATAGCTCGATGGAATTCCCAGAATGTTTGCAATTTCAAGACCCGGGGGAAGCGTAAAATAACTTTATCCGCGCCGAAGTAAATATAGAGTATATCCAAAGGCAAAAGTGAGATCACGTCAAACTGAAAAAAAAAAATATTATTTGACTGATTAATCTTATATTTTGTTTCATATTTGACAGACTGTATTTTTTGTGTGTATGTCACACGATATCTTCGAAAATTATGAAGCGATACGTTTAATATCAATTTTAAAAAAAATTTAGAGTTTTTGTTTACGAATAATACCTTAAAAGGTCCAATGTAAGTTCCGAAAATTCCGTCTTTTTAAAGTGATTTTAACACTTTTGAGTTTGCCGGTATACATTTTTTAGTTAAAAACTATTTACCTATACATAAAAAGTTTTTAATATAAAATGTTTCAACCATTATCAAATAAATTTTTATTCACACGCAATAGGCTTATTCGAGCCGTGTTCAAACTCACTCAAACATACAAAAGAATTAATACACTTCCCCTCGTACTGTGCAATTATTACTTGCTTGTTTAGTTCGATCGGGTCCTACCCTAAACAAGATATCGGGCAATAAAAATTAGACCGATGCCCCTTTTAGAGTTTGGAATATTTTTAACCGTTGTTTTGGCTTTTATATATAGATATACATACGTATATTGTACATATACATATGTATATTGTACAAATAATTTAATATCTATTATGTTACGAGCCATATTACATACATATGTATGGAATGCATAATATGGTATTTTCTTACTTTATATTGCAGTTTCTTCTTGTAATTTCGCCTGCAATCTACCGGGTCGACCACCCAGAAGCCCTCATTTAAGAACATTAGCCTCGGTTTCACAAATATCACATCCAATAAATATATGAAATCGCAAAAATAATCAGCTATCATCCAAAATGGAGTGTTTTCGGGTGTTTGATATGGGAATGTAGCGCGAAGGGCGATACACCACGCGTTATAGCTATAGCAAAATGTTACGAATAACAGCCAACTTATATAACGTCGACCTGTTGAACAAAGTTTTCTATTTAGATCAATCAGATTATAACCTATGTAAATTTTACATTATTGATGGTTTAGAAACTGAGAGTTTTTCTTATGGTAAAAAACAAAAAGTACGTCATATTACTAATTATTGAAGAAAACTTCTATAGGCAGGTTTGGACGGGGAGTAAATTTATGTAAGTCGTCATCGACATGGTCACGTGACGTGTTAAGGGCGTTCCATTTTAAAAAGTAAAAAAGAAACACTATTATGGTGTAATAATTAATTTTTGTGTAGTTTTGAAATTTGAATTCGGTTTTTTAGTTAAAAAGAATTACTATTACGTTAAAGAAAGTCTGACCTTGTGGATCAATAGGCATGTACGGGTCGCAGAAAGTCGGACATCTTTTCCAAGCTTCGCTTTTTCTGTCTCGCGAAGGAGAAGTAGGAACTGGACTTTGAGGTGTTTCTATCGCCGGCACTATTTCATTACTTAATCTTTTAATTGGCTTAATGGCTTCGCTTGCTATGGAACTAAGAAATAATGATTAGTTTATTTATTTTTTATTAGCATAACCAACAAAAGTTACATTCATTCATTCTTTATTATATTTACAAAGTTAGAGATAAGCGCACTTTGTTACAGGTTACCACATCGCGCAATAAAATAATATAAAAAACACAGTAACAATATTTGTAACATAACTAAATCAAAATAATAACAGTTATATAAAATTCAATTAATTAAAAAAAATCACTTCAATAGAGTTAACTAAATCATCAGTAGAGAATAATAAAGCAATACGCGTATGCATAATCATATGGTAACGATGATTTTGTTTTAAAATTAAAAAAATATGTAAAAAAATTAAGTTAAAAAAGTATTTACTCAGTTTCGGTGATCTCCTCTGTTACTTTATGGTCAAGTTCTATTATCTCAGATATAGTCTCTTTTTTGGATTGACGTATTTTGATACGTCTAGGTGACAGTGTCCTAACTCGAGCCAGCCGATTCTTTTCATACGGTACAATCCTGTAATAATTTATCAAAAAACAAAATTATACAACAAATAAATATGAATATAATAAAAGGCAAAATAAAAATAAATAAATATTACTTTATTGAAACTTTAACTTACTCTTTACTCTGGACATTTTCAATAATATCATCAGATATTTTGATCCTTGATTCGAATACAGAATTTAATTTTGACCCTCTGAAAACAGCAAGACTTGAATATCGTAAAATATAAATGAATATTTAAGTTAATTATGAGGCATATCATAACAATATAGATAAAACTACTCACTACTGGTACTGACGATATCTATATTTATTAGTTAGGTATTTTTATATTAAAAATAATTACACAAACCAACGACTTATTTATATTCGCTTCATGAAATGCATTTAAAAGATTAAATATACTACTACTAAAATTGCAATTTTTTGTATGTATGTTTAGTTGTTTCCAACATGATTATCTACCGTTTATCTTACGGTGAAGGAAAACATCGTGAGGAAATCTGTATGTCACAGAGAACCTAGCAAGTTTTCGGAAGACATGTGTAGTCTACCAACCCGCCAGCCCGCCAACTCGGGCAGCGTGGTGGACTTAGTCTAATACCCCTCGTATTGAAGTTGGGCCCGTGCCCTGCAGTGTGAGATTAAATAGGGTTGAATTGTTTTCTAATGCGTGTTAATTCTTCACGCTGAGAAGGCTGGGCAGATTTTAATGAATTTTTTTAAACAGATAGCTTTTGACCTATAGGCCTGTTTCCTAATACGGACAACTGCAAGTAGCAAGGATAAGTTGCTAATAAATGATAAAATAATAAGACTAACACGACATGCTTCGGGGAAATGTCGGGCGTACACCAGGAACCATAAGCCCCAGGGCCTATATCCTTTTTGATTTGCCTTTCCTTCTTGGACGAACTTGGGTGGACTATATGCTGAAAAACGTATAATATTTTACTTTACCTAAACTTAGATTGTTCTTAGATTTCTAGTCTTGTTAAAGCATTATGGTGTGCGTCTTGTATTTTCTACTAATGCAGTAATGACAGCATATTCATTTTTATTACTTACTAGCTGACCCGGTAAACGTTGTATAACTTTAATTTATTTTTCATTCAAATTGAATTTATGCAAAAACATGAACTTTAATCTTATAAAAAAGACTTTTTTTCTAAATTACTATAAGACATCAGTTTTCTGGTGAACTTTTCTAATGTTTTTTTAAAACTTTATTAGGATTATAATGAAAATTTTTAAAAAATATTGCTAAATCGTTCCAGCAAACTTCTTCTTCTTTACCTGGTCCTTATTCTACTCTAGGCGAGGTGAGTACAGTATGGAATAGATAGTAGTCTATCTATTCCATACTAACCAATATGTTATATAACTAATAGCCTTCTTCAATAAACGGGCTATCGAATTAGTAGTTTCCGAGATTAGCACGTTAAAACAAATAACCCCTCTCTCTTTATAATATTAGTATAGAAATATAGATAAACTATATTATAACTAAACGAGATTAAATTATTCTTTCAAAGGCTAGCTACAAAACAACAAACCATATTTGCTTTTGTTAATATTTATCTGTATAGTATATGTACATAGTTCGTATATGTCGGAATAATATAATACAAAACTATAAGGCGTGTACGTCTTTTATAGATTTACGACCTCTATAAAAGGATCGTAAAGTGTCTGAAGTGAGTCATTGAATCACTATTATATGTGGTCAGAAGAAGGATTTTTGAAAAGTCATCCTCAAAAATTATTATAAAATCACATATATAACTTTTATTAATTTTTAACTAATTGGTAGAGTTCGAAATATCTCATAACACAATAAGTGATTTCCCTTTATCATTCTTAAGTAAAAATATACAAAAAATATGAATGGACAATTTAACTTGTGATAAAATGGAAACTATCATCTTCGTAGAAAATTAAAACTATTAATAAAAACATTATTTCGACCATTAAATAATAATATATGAAAAAAAATTATAATTACATTAACAATTAATATATATTTCGAAGACAATTGTATAATTTACAAGAAATAAATAATCTGTAGTTCTATCTAACCCAAACATAAATTAATATGAAGTCGGTATAGGACATTGTTTACGCCGCAATAGGAAAGTAGGGTAGTTTGGTATTCAAATCACACGGCGAGGGAGGTTAATGGGCTGACCTTGCTCGTACCTGCATTACACAATATCCGATAACTCGATTGCTGATTGTATGTATACACTGGTAACATTTTCGGACATTGTTCTCTATAGATGGAAAATACTTTTATATTTTGGTGTGTTAACACCAATTAAATTGTATGACGCATCTGGCAATTTTAATTGTAAATTGAGAAAAATACAAGATTTTTATTAATGTAATTACTAATATTTAAATCAATTTTATGATAGTATTATTATAAATAAAATAAATATGTTGGATAATTAATACACAGCACTATCTATTATCTAGTTCTATGTTATACGAGACATTGTTATGGATACCAGATAGTTAATACACTATATAACTTTAAATACATACATATTATAAATATAAACACCCATGATTGGAGTACAAACATTCGTGCTCATCACACAAATGAATGCCTCCGGCGGGACTCAAACTCGCGACCGCTGGCACAGCAAACTGAGTCAAACGTGTCATTAAACTGTATATTAAAAAAATTGCAAATGGATGTTTGAGATATAATGAAAGCCAATAATATAACAGTTCTTAATTATCTTATCATTTCAAAGGAAATTGCTTGGAAAGATTCCTTGAGATTCCTTCTACTTTTTTATTATACTAAAAATAGTCTGAATTATTGATTGGATACTCTACAGGTTTAGTTATTAGTTACAATACAGATTATTTTAATTTAGAAATACCAATTAATTATAAAAAAATATGAAATTATAACACCAATAATATAACAACATTAATTTAGAAATTTTGTTTTTTTTGTTATTCTTGATAACACGAGGCTACTTTTAGCTAATAAGCAATTTGACCCGCCCCGCCCTTCAGACGTGTAAGTAATTAATTTACTCAAGATCCACTGTCAGTAACACTTACTTTTAAAATATGTTTTTGAATATATATAAATATCATATTAATACAATAATTAACAAGTGTATTTATTGTCTATACATATGGCTTTATTTTATTCTACACTGGTTACTGCTTACATATTCATTATTATGAGATACGCTATTATTGTACACTAGCAGCTTACCCTCGTTTCACTCGGGTTCGCCCCTAGAAAAACAAAAACATATCTATCCCTCGGGAACCGTATATTTTTCCTTGATAAAAAGTAGCCTATGTGTTATTCCAGACTATAATCTATCTCTGTACCAAATTTCATCCAGATCCGTTCAGCCGTTCTGGCGTAAAAGAGTGACAAACATCCATACATACTCACAAACTTTTACATTAATAATATTTATTTAAACAGACTGTGCTTTAAATTCAAACTTTTTATTACCTGTTAAAAAAAGTTAAGCACTTCTTGAACTATGTGCAACTAAATAAAGCAAAATCCTTTTTAAGCTGTAGAATTCTATGCCTACCCATTACCCAATGATCGAAACCGACAATATTGTTACTACGAAAAATGTGTGGTCTAATCAACATCAAACCCACGATCCTCCAAATTGTCAAATAATTCCTACTACACAGAATACACAGAAAAGGAAGAAGAAAATAGAAACATATATAATGATAAATGATACAAATATATAGTTTGTGCGTACAAAAGCATTATCCTTTGGTTTAACGTTTTTACAAGTAAGTGATTCAAATGAAGATCATATTTCTATTGAACCGTAAAAAATGTAGAGCTAACTTAGAATCTTAAATCGTTTCATATATGTAGATCGTAAATAGCGTTAAAATATTTCAAAACATAAGGCATTTTCTCAAACTTACTGTTATTTATAATATGTATAATTCTCTAAACAAAAACAAAAATCATTAAAAATCTACGGAAATTGCACTGTTAATGTGTAATTAGTGTATCTATAGAGGCTAGTAATGAGTAGCGTGCTGCGCGGTCGTATAAAACAATCGAACTTAATTGCAAGGCAAGTCAGAGCGTTAAATAGTAATTATACTCAAGTGCTTTTATTTAAACTTTCTAAGAAAATAAAATAATATAAATCTCATATATATAACTTGTACGTACATATATGAATATAAAAATCATAGCCCGCTCTATATTTCGTAATAATATTTTACAAGATATATATAAATAATGTAGATAATATAGAAAAGTTTGAAAATTAAAAGGTGAAAAAATTGAAAAAATATAACTTCTTAGAACAAAACTTACCACATCTACTTTAATTTCCATACTGAATCACATTTTTGATACATTACACATTTTATTAAAGAACTCTTTAAATCGTTTAAATAACAAGGGGTTAAAGCCAACGCGTGCGGCTGGCGCGTCCTAAACACTTGACTGTCCACCGAAGAAAACCTTCAGTTCGTATTGGAGTAGGGTTGGCACAGTAAAATTTATTTTTGACGTGAAACGTCTTTAAAATCACGATCAAATCAAATCAAACCGAAACATACGGGTACCAAGGCAGAAAAGTAGACCGTATTAAAATAGGTTGCATTAGGTTGCCATAGTAACCGTTGTTATTGTCTGAAAAATGATACATATAATATTCTTTCCGTTGCTATTTTCAAAGATGACTACTTTTACTAATTTGTTTTCAAATATGCAAAATATTAATAATTACTACTTTATCTTTAACACTAAAAGCGACTCGCTGAAATAGACATTTCACGTTAAATCACGAGGTGTGCCCCAACACAGCTCCACCCGATTTTTGAAGTGAAAACTTCTATAAGCAGGTTTGGATGGGAGTAAATTAATGTAAGTCATCATCGACATGGTCACGTGACGTGTTAATGCTAACACTCAGAGTGCCGATAGATGTCAAAACCAGATAAATGTAAACAGTTTTAATTTACAAATTTTAATTATAGAATATTTGAATATCCAAAAATAATGACAGTTTGTTTATAGTTTTAAGTCTTCACTTCTATCGGCAGGCCTTATGACTGCTTTTTTAAAATTAGTTCATACTTGCCGTTTGCCGCGTAAAACCATTTTTAATTTACTACGGAATATAATAGTATTTTTAATAAATTATTAAAAAAATCTTAAACTGCGACTAATTTGAAAATAAATCATGTTTAAATATTTTACTTATTTAATATATTTGAGCATTTTGAATTTTCTGTCTTTATAAATAAACGATAAATGTTCATATTATTGGTTTTCATTATGAGTGACAACCCTGTAGTATTGTAAGTAGGTATTGAATGAAGTAAGCCTGGGCTGTGGCGCAGGTTGCGTTGGAAATTGAAAAATAAATCTTATTGCTAGTAGTGGTGGAAGAAATAACGGCTGACAATTTACATTTATTAATTAAAGATACTTGTTTGAAACAGTTAATTCTTTTATTAGAACAATATTTGTTATAAACTGTCCATACATTGTTTTACAACATGTTGACAAGCGAGGCATATACCTATGTATTTCTTTTGATTAATTAATTTAATTTGAGCACTAAGAGATATATATTTCAATAACATAGTCATAATAAAAGTTAATATAATAGTGTGACGTTTAAAAAACAAAAAATGAATCTAAAACTATTCTAAATATAGATTCCAATGAATATATATACATGAAAATAAATGTGTCGCAAATCTTGTTACTTACCCTTCTTCGCAGTGTTGATATCGAAGAAGCCATCTTATATCATTTGTTTATATCGTTTATTTTTATAGATCTCTATCCAATATAAGTTTATACCAACATATAACTACATATCAGTCAAAAACATCGATACCACTGCACTTAGTCGTTCAAACCCCATTCCCCCAATTGATTATTACACGAACAATTTCGAAAACGTTGGTAGTAAGTAAGCTTTGAGCTTTGGCCGATCATTTCTTTTAGCCGCATAATAATTTATAGGCTGCTAGCGTAGGTGTAAATATTTGCTGTGATATCCCTCTATATTCTAAGTGTAGATAAATAGCTATAGACATAATATATAAGATTATATAGCTATAGACAAAAAAATTAGCGCTTTAAGCGCTTTAAGCGCTATATTTTATCGGTAATATTGGTAATATAAAATACTTTCTAAAAAAAGCGCTGTAAGAACGTTGAAAGTAGCAAAAGCTGCTTTGATCTAGTAAACTTGCGCGCGCACCGAAGATTGCGTTCCGTTTAACATGGATAATAATGTTTAAATACATATAAGACTCATATCTGTAATAAATTATATATTTTATTTTAGCAATATCATTTATATTAAATGTATTTTAAACTTAAAAATATTATAAAAAGTTATTTTTATATTCCGTAAAACGGGGTGAATAGGGACAAATCCCAACTTTATGAACAATTTTAAGATAGTTGTTGATGGATATATTGCTAAATCAGGATGAAAAGGATTGAGTCTTGGTGGTATCTTTGTTATCTAGTTTAAAATTATGTAATCAGCATTCCAGTTTAAGTAAAAAAAAACAAAAATAGATGTAATCCCTATTCACCCGGAAGTTGGGGTTAATAGGGACGAAAATAGTGTCAATAGAGAAATATGCTAGGGCTGGCACTACTTTGTTTAATAATCAATTTCCACATATGTATTTATTTTGTTTGTATTTCTTATCAGATGATGAAATAAAATAGTAGGTACGAATTCAATGGTTTATTTTTTAAATTAACTTAAGTAAGTCGTTTTAACTTTTTTATAAGTTTTTGAAACATTTTTGAATGTACAAGATTATAATACATATAAAAAGTTTTTAAACATATTAATAATCACATTTTGTAATTTGGCATATAAATTTGATACGTACACGCGAGGCATGTCCAAAAATTGAAAACAATATGTAGTATCAATATTTGACACACAATAAAATAACAGTGCATTAATATATATATAAAAATGAATTTAAATTTGTTAGTCTCATAAAAACTCGCGAAAAGCTGGACCGATTCGGCTAGTTATAATTATAATAAGAAAAGTTCAGACAACTTTTATTGACGGCACAAAGTTCGCAGGGTCAGCTAGTAAATAGGTAAATAAAAGACAAGACAAAAATATCATGAATATACTAAATAGTTACCTCACCTATAAATAAGAATGTTATAAGTACTTGGTGACAACCCTACAATCCTGTACCTATTCATACTTAAGTCGTTCCTATTCAACTTATTCTCATACCAATTGACCCCTCTTTCGTTGTTATTAATACCTGAGACGTCCCTATTCGCCCCAAAAACATCAGATTTTACATAGATTTCTAATTTATCAAATAACATTTAAATCAATTAACAACTGAGACTTACCTTTAATACATATGACGGCCCAAACACTAAATAACGCTTTTAAATCACGGTCGTCTTTTAATACTATCAAATAAATTAAAGAAAGCAAAGTTTCTAACACTAAAATAATTGCCGCCACGAGAAGTTATTTTCAAATGCGATTTTTTAACAGTTAGCAGCTAATTTCATGCATATTCAGTGTTGCCACGAAAACATTCAAATAGAAGAATTTGTAACGAATTTAGAATTAATAGTGTGCGTCGAAATATTTTTCCGGTTTTATCCCTATTCACCCCATTTTACGGTTCGTTTTTTTACAACTAAACATGTAAATAGGAACTGTTTGTAAATGATATCTTTTTAACAATGTGATTCAATGACATTAATACAGACAAACATTTATTACTTGTACGTATGTTTGTATGTTTGGTCCTATGTTGTCTCATATTTACTAAACATCTTAACCGATTCAAACGCGAGTGTATAGGCTATAATAATTATTACTAAAATGCTGATTGCTGCTTTCAGTCAATTTGTGCCTTGAAATAAGAAGAAAAGAATTTCTTTAAAATTAAATTATTAAACTTATTTGCATCGGGTTTTTTATTTCTATATGTAAGTACAAGACCAATCTGCCGTAATATGTTTTCATAAATATATGAATAACTAGCAGTAACCGCAGCTTCGCCCGCGTCCAAACTTCCGATCGTTAACAAAATTCACAGGATAACCCGCTGGGCTAATCTGAAGATTACCTAAAAATTTCATCAAAATCGATCCAGCTGTTTTCGAGTCCATAGGAAATATACATACACATATCGATTTTTATTTTATTTAATCTATGATTTAAATTTATTTATTGGTCGGAAAATGGAGTCTGATGGAAATTTAGTGACACGCCGACTACAGCGCCATCTACCGGATCCATTTGTGAATTAAACCATCCAGGAGCCCATTGAAATGTACACACAAAATTTCATCCAAATCGATCCGGTCCTTTAGGAGGGGTAGGGTTAACAAACATACGTACAGAAGAATTATATATATTAAGATATATATTTGCATATTTATTTAAGTATATTGCGTGGTACATATTATATTAGTGAATATTAATTGTTTGTTAATTGTTATGCTTCGTAATAATAATCTTGAAGTAAATATTTTATTACATCATAGTTTTAATTTTTAATGCTAAACGAAATAGGTGTGCGATACCTTGATTCTCCTTTTCTAATTTTACAGTCTGCGTAAAGGCTTACACTTTACAGGCTTCCTTTGTACCTATGGGGCTATGACAAAAGAACTTTAAAGTTCAAAATGAAGACCACGGGGCAATCACAATTATTTATTAAGTAATATTAATTAAGCACGAAAATTTCTTCGTCCAAATTATATCTATTATTTATTTCATTTGTAAGCTGAAAAATTCATCAATTGTGACTACAAGGTGGCACTGACATCGCTGTTAAAAAGCGGGGAAACAAATGAATATCCGTGTCCTTTTTTTTTTAAATACATTCCAATCGGCCAAGGTCACATAAATAAATGATTTATGTATAAATTTACAAATAAATATTAAATGTATTATTTTTCATTAAAAAAACTCGTACATAAAAATACAGCCTTACACATTATATCTTACTAGCGAGTAGCGACTCACTAGTTTTAACGATTAGTATGAAATACAAATCTTTGAATTTCTCGGCTTTCAGTACTATAGCATGATATTATACATATAAAACTTCCTCTTGAAACACTCTATCTATTGCGGAAAACTGCATTAAAAGTGAACAAACAACGGAAGCGACTTCATTTTATAATTTGTAATTTATAATTTGCCATTTTACAAATGTGTTCTAAAGCTGACATAGTTTTCTTATTGTCAACTGCATTTTTAGCATTCCCATCATCATCCTTCGTCTTTTTTCCGCCCGTTTTTTAAACTGATATCGTTATAGTAGGAGTGTAATATTGACATATACTGCAGTTCTTCAGTCGATATTATAAGAAAACTGTGGAAGAATTTCGTTATTTTTAAAATAAAAATGTACCTAAATATATATTGCATTTAGACTTGAACAACCAAGTTTCATTTATTATAATTATTGGCAAAGCAAATAATACTCAATTGATACATACATAAAGCATTAATTTGATTAATTTATATGACATCGTCTGATAGGAATAACTAACAAAGTAATCAGTAATTTGTATCATAATATCGCCAACGTCCATACCACGTTGAATACACCGGTTCTCGTCCGATCACCGAAGTTAAGCAACATCGGGCGCGGTTAGTACTTGGATGGGTGACCGCCTGGGAACACCGCGTGACGTTGGCTTTTTGTTTTTTTTTATTACATAATACATATTATATTTTTATGATTTTTACTTAAATATATATTAATAATATTTAGATACATAACAAAATTTATCAATCCTTTGAATGTTCCCTTTAAAAAATTATATTTATTTAAAAAAAAAAATATTTTCAGTATGTTTTAAAATATTTAACTATTATTATTTAAGATACCACTTTGCCAAGTTTTTCAAAACGACAAAAAATAATTACTACGAATTTCATAATATCTTAGTAGGTTTTTATATAGATCCAAAGCTTTATGAAGAGTTTTTTAGGATATTTTAAATCCAGTAAGTTAAAAACTGTGTAATTCAAGTAAACCCTTTTATTCAAAAATAATATAACTGATTTTAAACTTTTGAGGTTACTATAAATTATTGGTAAAAATTATACATATAATAGCAACTCACCGTCGCTTCGCTCGGATTCGTCCCTAGGTACGTTTTAATTTTTTTGAGCGGAACCCTAATTCTTTTTCTAAAATAAAAGTAACCATGTTACTCCCTATAACATCAGCTATCTTCCAGTGAAATTCCCATCAAAATCAGTCCAGCCGTTTCAGAGATTATCCGGAACAACCAGACAGACAGACAAAAAAATAAAAAAATAAAAGTGTTTTTCTTATAAGTACCGTATATATAATTATTTCATATGCATTTAGTAAAACGCTGTTATTTTGACATTACAAGCAGACACTTCAATTTTATTTATCTGTAGGTACAGATTATGTACACCTAAAGTTTTAATAATATAACTTTCCTTCTATAGAGCACTACGTAATTGCTTTTACTACTTATTATTTTTATTCTATGAATTGACTTCTTTATTGTATAGATATCCCAGAAAAAAAAACAAAATAAAAACTATTTGTTTGTAAAACATATATTTTATTCATGAATAAAAACTAAAAAATCACAAATATATCATGGAGTGATTTCTAACAAATTCTTGCAAATACGATCCTTCTAGCACTCCGAAGCGTCGGCTAAGTGGTTTGTTGTGAGTCCAGCGCGCGACAAGGGTCTGAGTTGGAGCGGGCTCGTCCATGGGCACTATGTGGCCCGCGCCACGGATGACTACTTCAGTGAGACGACCCCCTGTTTTATGGTATCTAAAAACATTTATTTATAGATTAATTATTGTTACTAAGTATTAAGTTAACATAAAAAAATATATCAGTCAGTAGTAGTTGAACTACTTGTTACTTATTTAAGTAAAATTCTGGCTTCTTAAATAATGTGCCTAGCCATCATTTATGAATCGATAAAAATCAAGAGGTTTAGGTTACATATGTCACCATGGGCACCTTATATCTCGGGGGCCTACCGCTTATCATTAGGTACGGCTGATATGGCGAATCAATACTGGAATTAATTTGGTTATTAATACATTATTAACAGACTTCCAAAAAGAAGTAGGTTCTATTTTCATTTATCTTAATGTATCTTTTTATGTATGTTATTAAAAAAGGACAATATTTTAATACAATAATAATATTTAATAAGGAATGAACAATTAAATTGTAATATTTGAACTAATTATAACATTACTTTATAAAATATGCAAGGATAAATAAGCAAGGAGATAAGCCTAGTGCTTATCTAATTGCATTAGGGTTACAATAAGTTCGTACTATTTTGTTAGATTATATTTGTTTTTATTTATATGTATACTTGCAACCAACATAATCCACATTAATATTATAAATGTGAAAGTGTGTTTGTTTGTTTGTCCTTCTTTCACGTGGAAATGGAGTGACGGATTTGCGTATTTTTTGTGTGGAGACAGTTGGAGGGCTGGAGAGTAACATAGGCTACTTTTTACCATGGGAGATTACCTAATTCCCAAGGGAAAATACGTTTTAATACAGTCCAAAAACTATTTATGGTCAGAAATAGTTGAAACTCGGTATTATTGCTCTTCTTTAAAATTAAATAAATATGTGTTTTAGCACTTTTCGAAATTCATCCTATAAGACGGTAAAATATAGGATGAAAGGTTGTATGAAACTGCCTTTCTAGGAATTTTGTAGTTTTAGCGCGAGCGAAGCCGCGGGTTCTGCTAGTATTCTATTTATCTATTATCTACAAATAAGAGTTCCCAATGAGGTGTGTTCATTGTTCAAGTTTATTGAACATAAATATTCATTTAAATTATGCGTTTATGTATTATAATGTAAACGGTGTCACGTAAATAGCAAAAAAGAAATCTTCTGTTCTGCGCGCTGGGATCAGTCTAGCAATTCCTGAATATCAGTATGGATGCTTGAGCGCTGAAGCTAGTTGCTAACTGTACACTATCTATACGAATAAATAAAGGGTTTGTAATTTTGACCACTTAAAAAAATCGCAATGTATTTTATAGCCGAATATTGATGAAGGATAATGTAACATCATGCCCTTAGAAGCAGACTTAGTAAACTACGCGAGTAGAGTCGCGAGCAAAAACTAATAAATTAGCACACATACCCAGCAAGTCTTGCATTAAAAATGTAAGGATATCTCGTGGCTTCCAGGAATTCAGAAGAACCGTTCCATTTCCACGTCCGGTACTGTTCAAATGTATGCACGCAAGGCAACATTTGGTCTAATTGTCCGCTGAAACATTTATAAAAGATACGAAAATAACTTTTAAAATTATACAATATATCTTTTGAACACTGATTAAAATAAATTTTATTTAAAACGTATTGTAAAATTGGAAAGGTTTATTTATACTTATTTGTAAATAATAAAAGTGTGTGTGTACTTATATATGCACGCACTTAAGAAGTTATACTTCTTTGGCGTAACAGAACAAAAATAGCTAAAGATTTCACCCCGTATATCACAACTTGTGCGCGCGCATTGTAAAAATTTTAGTCTCTTTTTTTTATCTCATATTTTTTTTCAAACGTGCCAAATAAAGTATAACTTCAAAAATGTTCTTACTTTTTTATCCTTGTAGTGTAAGTGTAATGTTAACACAAAATGTTTTAAATATCGGTATAATGTGAAATATAGTGTGCAGGTTGAACTAGCAACTTACGGTTCAGACGCTAGCTAGGTGACGCGACGGTGGCTAATTCATGGATAATGCTAATAATATAAAAGATAACACTTTCTTAGATTTACGCGAATATTTGACATTTTAAATAAAACTATCTTTTCGGATTATTTCGCGGATTTATTTTAATTTTTGGTTCCCGACGTTTCGAATGTTAACATGTAACACCTCAGTCTCTCCCGTGACCATGGATGTAAAGCATTCGAAACGCCGGGAACCAAAAATCAAAATAAATCCGCGAAATAATCCGAAAACGTAGTTTTATTTAAAATATAAATTTTTTTATACTTACCAATAAGCTAGAACCTTGTACTGTTCATCTAATAATTTTTCATAATAAGGTTTTGCACTGCTCAAAAAATCGTCCGCCATTTTAGTGTTGGCTGTTATGTTAAGATACGAGAAGTTTATGTCTCCTACGTGTATAGCCCTCTTTACTTCTGAGCTTTTAAGAAAATTAACATAACGACCCACGAGAAGCTCGTCTTTAAGGAAATTATATGCTTGTTTTTGATGCGTCAAAAATAATAGTACTGTGATCAAACTGGTCCATTTCTGAAATTCAATTTTATTATGCAGTTCTTATATGTTTATCACAAAGACCTTACGTTTAGGCCTCTCATTGTATAGGACTTCAAAATTACTTCAGATAAAAAATGTTTTCTTTTTGCTGAATTAAAGCCAAATTGCAATATATACCTGTGTATATATTTCAAACAGGAGCCAGTAAACAATTATTAATTATTATAATATCATTTATTTATTATACTTTCTTAGATTTACGCGAATATTTCACATTTTAAATAAAACTATCTTTTCGGATGTTTTCGGTGATTTATATTGGTTTCCAACGTTTTAAATGCTTTACGTGTGACCCGTTCCCGTGACCATGATTGCTGTGAAGTGTAAAGCAAACCAAAAATCTAAATAAAAATCGCGAAAACATCCGATAGTTTTATTTAAAATCATTTATTTAATTTGATTTTGATAACTGAATACTATACATACATCTTTTGCCCCTACACTGTTTTTTGTAGCTATGTCTTGATGAAAAGATTTTAATAATGGTTCTACTATTTTAATTTGTTCTTTATTCAAAAGACCAAAGTTGTAGAAAGATCGCGTTATATCCGATATCATTGATGGGTCTATATATGGATTTCCAACGATTACACCCTGAAAAAAATAATAATAGAAACATTCACTTTGCTTAGAGTAAGTAATAAATAAGAAAAAAATATCAAAAAAATTGAAGATTGTTCTGTAAAAAAAAACTAGTCAGTTTTTAGTTAGTTAGAAAAATAAAAAATTTCTTATAAAATTAATTTTCTTATAAACGATTTGCATTTTCAATTGCTTTTTCGGCATTTATAGCAAGATTGTTATATTTTCAAATTTATTTCTGTAAATTCTCTCTCTTCTTAACTCTTATATTTTAGCAGATATAAATATTTTTTGAAATACTAAATATTAATCCGTATAAAAATAAAATATTTTATCGTGACAAGGTCTTATAGAGATAAAGTTTGCCCTTTACAATATATTATTTGGTTATATTATTCATTATTATATAGTGTAGAAGATAACATGCGCATGTTATCTTCTTTCTATCGTCAACTCTTAGCTTTAAAATAACTTCTATATTATCTATCTATACATATACCTATACATTAAATATTTTTTGGAAAAACTTATTTAAATAGACATTATTATCGATACAAAAGCCGAATTTATAATTTTTTGAATTTTTGTCTGTCTGTTTGTCTGTCTGTGACCGCATCACGGAAAACCAATGGAGGGATTTTGATGAAATTTGCTATGATGATAGCTGGTTATCCGGGTCAACGTATAGAATACTTTTTACTGCGGGAAAATATCTCATCTCTGAGAAATCTGCACTAAACTTTAAAACGTAAAGTAGAGGCGAATCTCCGAAACTTTGCAAGTGTGTCTATTTCCGTTGATAGTGCAATGGTTCGGTATTGTTGACCTGATCTAATGGTAGGGCCTGAAGGTGGATAGGTGGAACTCTTCAACACCTAATAGTAGATACTTTGATTTTGGGTCTATTTTGTTTGATTTGACAAGCCCAATACGTTAGAACTACATTTTAGAGCCAGATTTTTTAGTTTTATTTCAACAGTGAATTTTAGTTTTTCAGTCTTCATATAAAAATTGTCATCCAACTTATTTGGCCAGCCCTAGCCGATGCAAATCAAAGCACACCGACATAACAATAACTGATTAGGTATCTACAATAATATATAATGTATATATAGTAAATGAAAACTACCAATAATTATTTTTTAGTTTTGTTATAATTCCTTTTTGAAGTCGGCATTTATTTTAAAAAGTTTTGTTTTATTAAAGTTTTATGACCTTGGATTTTTTTAATATGAGTAATATTTTACATTTAGTGTTAAACGATCTTAAATTTTTACAAATAACAATTAACATTCATAAGTAGCTCAATTGATTTGAAATAATAACGTAGGTAAAACCTCTAAGTATCTGTAGTATTTATGATATTTGTGCTTTTTTAATGTCCCACCGTGTAGGCGTCTCCATAAATAAAGGAGTTCAAACCGCAGGCTACCAAGCTGACCAAGTATTGGTTGGTAGACTTCACCCTATTGAAAAACTATAAATATTTATTGGTTCCTATGTGGCTTTTATTGGATCCTATATGGCTTTTGTCGCTTTTGATGAGATCCTATTGGAGTTTTTAAATAGGGTACACGTCTTTATCACGTTAGGCTCTCAGAAAGGTTTTTTTAGTGTTTTCCTTCATCATATTAGCAAGTGATAATCATATTGATATTAATTTGCACATTAATATGTTATGGTGACTGGAGAGACTTTTTCTAATCCCAATCCTTTTCTTCGCGAATGAAACTAACGGCCTCCTTCTTTGCTTGCTTTTTTATTATCTATCTTTTTAACACATGAAAAAAAATAAGATTAAGAAATACCTGTAAATTAATATCGGAGTCATATGTATTTTTATGATTATGAATGTGCATAGCCATTGCTGGAACATATTTTCCAGCATACGACTCGCCTGCTATGTAAAGCGGTGCCGATTTCAATTCTGGGAATATCTTTAGAAATTGGTGTATTGTTTTGTATAAATTGCTGCCATACTGAAAAAGTAACATCATGTAAGAAAATTGAGCGAAATAATGAGAGAATTGTGAAAGTCATTGTGCACTAAAAATATTCATTAAAGTTGCGTAATAGGTACTGTAGGGCTGTTATTTTACGTAATATTTCGTATATACAGTATTGTAGAGATATTATTTATTATTATAGACGTTCTAAAAAAATCATTAACCGTAATATTTAAACTGATAATTATTTGCCTCGATAATGGTTATAATAGAAATATATTCAATTTTAAAACAAAAATGTCGTATCTAAGTAATTCTAGTTTATATAAATAAAAATGTTTGTGCGATCACTAAAAGTTCTTCAGTTGCTTTAGAATCTTTAGACATATATGTAAATCTTTTCATTTATTTTGCTATAAGTTTATAACTTACTACAAGATGGCCCAGCAGTGCATCATCTTCTATAACCGAACACCATCAAAATTGGTACATGTGGGTATTTATGGACGGAGAATATTTTCACGTAATACTCACATATTATAGCAGCTCTACTTAATAGGGCAAAGATTAATGTAACAAAATAACTAAAAAAGGTATATTAAAAGAAAATAGTAATTACCGAATCCATGTCCTTTGAGAACCCATCATTGTGCTTTGTAAAACTAAAACCAGTACCTACTGGATTGTCAATAAAAATCAAAGAATGATTCTGCAACCACGTATAGGGATTTACTAAAAATTAGAAAAATAGATTATTTGCCCATAATGTCAACTAACACAAGTTTGGGCTGATTCTTTAAACAACAGATATAAAATAAATATAGGTAATAATAAACCACGGTAATGTTACATACAATATTCCATCTTCATACAAACGGTCGGAAATCGAGTTATACCTACGCGCCTCGAGTGCGGTATAAACTCGGTAGACAACCGTCCGGGGCTGATAGATCGTACTCGTATAATTGGATACGAAAATTGTATTATATAACTTTGATAATTGGATACAAAAATAAACATTTTATTCCTCCCGTAACTTCGCTGATGTCAAACAAAAAAGTATCGAGACATCGTATGTTTTAAAAATAAAAATTAATTAATTAAATTAAAAATAAAAATTAAAGTATTTTTAATTAAACATTTTATCCGAATGCGGATTTTTTATACTATTCAATTTAACAATAAAGCTTTTCGTACATCTCAGTCGAGGCGCAAATATTTTTCAATAGGGGTAAAAGGGTGGTATGTGACCCTTATAAATTTGAGATTTTTAATTAAATCTATTAATAATATTTTTTAAATAAAAAATATAATATTTGAAATCACAAAAGTAGAAAGAAACAAGTAAGTATAAGAAACTAAAATACTGGCCGGCGGGCAGCCCTGTCGCTTGGTTACGTACCGCGTGGCTGTAGGTAATTATTTCAAGGACAGGGCTGATTTACAATTCTGTATGCATAACATTACCGTGCTAAATCTGAATATAAAAGTAAAACGATATCTTCGCCAGTTGTGAACCGATTTTAATATTCCTTTTTCAGGCTTTTTTTAGGTGTATTAACCTCGAGGAATTCATGCGGAATTTTTAGTTAAAGTAATTTAATGAAACCAATCATATGTAGTTATTAATTTAATCATTATTTTTTCTATCTTATGAATAAATATTATCTGATAATTGAAAAATCAGCCCAGTAATGCAACTTTCAAAACTTACTTTTCAAAGTTCCTCCTGGGCTTACTTTGAACGGCCCTATTTCATCGAACAGCCCTGTCATACTTGATGCGCCCGGCCCTCCTTGCAACCAAACTATCCAAGGAGTTTCATTTACAGCTTTATTTAAAACGGGAAAATACCAAAAGAACATATTGGAATCGTATTCTTTGTTCACTGTTAAAAATCCTGAATAACTTTCTATTCCAAAAAAGATGTCTGAGTTCACTCTGGAAGCTAGACGTGCTTCTTCGATTTTTCCATTTTCAATATAAGGGGTTAAAATCAGAGCTGTTCCATTATCGACTTTAGGAATTTCACATGGTACAATTTCATCTGAATTTATTAAATTCTCAGATATATTATCTGAATTATTTTGACATATTTTTGGAGTTTCATTAATTGTTGAAGTCGCGTTAGTTCTTTTTCTTGGTTCTTTCTCTGTTTTTTCGGACACATTGCTATTAACTATAATATCTTTGTATACTGGTAACTCTAATTGAAGGGCGGAAATAGCTTTAGGATCAACCTTGTTAATTAAATTGCTCGATATGTCTGGCAAAATATCTTTTTTTAAAATGACCTTACAGTGAACACTGAAACATAGCACGAAGAGAATATATATAAAAAATAAAGGTTTAAAATAAACTTAGTTTTCTTCATTTAGTTTTTTAATCTTTAATTAATATTTTTTAAAGTTACAAAATCTTGCGTCAGCCAATCCTTATGATATGAAATTTTAATATATTTCGATATCATGCGTAAAACATATAATATAATAATAGTCATGTCATTCACAATCCAATCTTGCCATCCCATATTATAATTTAATAAGTATTATATGTAAATTTTATATTAAAAAGTTTTAAAGAGCCCTTACCTGCATAAAGCTAACGCTAACACAAATATCACAGGTTTAACCATTATTAAACTATAGAGTAATAATCAAATATATATTAGCTATTTATTATCAAATTCAACTTGCTTTTAACTACTACGTCTTGGGACTGCATATGTATGAATATCTGCTTCATATGCTATCAACTTGAACTGCGTGATCCCGACACGTTTCATCTATACGCTCGTATGATACGCTCATTCACACGGTAGTTCTTGTTCCATTGCCACTTACGACATCGAAACTAGATTAGATCTAGACTAGTTTTATTATTTAGCTTTGTTAAATAAAGCCGCAGCGAATTTATAATAATAGGTAAAGTATCAAATTGCCGATTTGTACAGAAAAATTGATTGTTTTTTTAATTTAACATATTTAGGTACTTTATCAAAATAATTACCATTATTATCTATACATTGCTGCCATCAAATAAGAAGGTTATTTATGCCTTTGCGATAGAACTCTGGTGATCTAGATTCGACAAAATGTGTGCATTTTGTACTGCCTCATGAGAAGAAAACTTTTTATCACGTAGAAAATTGTCCAAATAACGAAAAAAATGGTAGTCCGTTGGAGAAAGGTCTGGCGAATACGGAGGGTGACGAATGGTTTCTAATTGCAGTTCCTCTAGAGTTAAAACCGTTTCTCGTGCTGTATGAAGTCTCCCGTTATCATGGAGCAATAATGGTGAATATCGATTCTTGAGTCGGGGCTGTTTCACTGCTAGTTTTGTTATCATTGTTCGGAGTTCGGCACAGTAGACTTTAGATTTATTTTATTGATTTGACGCAAATAAATTAGTCAATATTGTTGGTAAGGTAACGTTAATTCATGCCGCTAATTCCTGGGTATTTAGGCTCGGATCGACTTCCACACGATAATCGAATGTTGCACATTTTTTTAAATAAGAACTACATAGGTACCATGTGAAGAAAGTTTCACTCAATAATCTCAACCCATGAAGGTTCTATGTCAATTCGAAGTATCTGTTACAATAAAACGGCAATTTCATACCTTAACTCCCTTTTTTTTAACGTTGGAAAATGCATTTACGCACGAAGTGTGGGACTCACCGGCGAAGCCAGTACTACCCACTAAAACCCAAAATAGCCTTCCCCCGTCTTAATGGGGCATCGCAGGATCGCTTACGCATTCAACTACGACGACCCGACGGCAGGTCTGCCGAAGCAGACCACAACAACCATGGGGTTGCTCCACGGTCCACTCCGCTATCAGAGAAGTACCAGGAGCAACCCGCATGGTATACCGCCCTCCGAATAAGGCCGCCTCCCACCGCCCACCGAAGCGGACCACCTCCCTGTGCGTTTCTTGGCTTCGCGAGTACACTACTCAGCCCCCCCACCACGACAAGGTAAACGCACGTTGGGGGGAATACTTTAACCCCTATTATTTGGTCGTTGATGACTGAAATTACTAATAACAATCAGCTCTTTTTTGCTAATAAAAGCGTGTTGCTTTTATTAGACATTAATATGTGATGTAGATGTACTACACCACATATTAATGTCTTTTGCATTTATAGTAATTGTAAGGATAAACATAAATAATTCTGTTAATTTTATTATATAACTATGCAGATCTTTTATTGAATTGCATTGACGCAAGCATTGTTCTTGTTCGAGGAAAAACTATTATTTTATGTATGTAATAAAAAAACTTTTTACAATGTTGCAACACTCATTGCACTGTGAGATTTAAAAATTGTAAAGAAGAAGAAGACATTATGGCTTTGCTATACCAGTTACGAGTATAATAGTTCTACTTATATAACATAACAAAAAAAAAGGTTATTGATTGATAACATTTTTGCAGTCGTACAAAACTGGCAATTAAGTATGATAAGCACTATGAGATAATACGAAATAATGCTACGAAGCACTAAAAATTTAAATGATCTTTAAAATGATTAGATTCTTCACTAAAGGAACGAGAAAAATGTACTCAAATCTAAATTTTAGGCAAGCTTTAAATTTCAACAGACAAAACACTATACTAAGGTAATATGATATCAAAAGTGAAAAAGAGAAAGCGAGTACGTACGTATAAATAGGTAGTAATATCTCAGTAATAAGAACTAATAATTATTTTACCTAACGCTACGAATAAAAATACTAATTTCATATAAATATTAGAGACGATATTTTGAATTTCTTGTACAATCCTCGGTAGTATAGTGGTAAGTATCCCCGCCTGTCACGCGGGAGACCGGGGTTCGATTCCCCGCCGGGGAGATTTTTTTTTTAAATTTATAAGTGGATCTTTTGTACACATATTAGAGCGGGTTTACACTATTACGGTTCTATCAAATCGGTTTTGCCGTACAACCATAACATACGGTTTGCCGTTTCAGTAAAAAACTTTAGAGTTGATTTGTTCACACGATGCGGTTTACCGAATAAACAAATCGTTTTTTTATTGGTTTTATAATACGATGTAAAGACATAGCGAGAGATATACTTATAATTATAGTTTGCAATATAAAATTTCATATTATTTCTAAATATCTACCTAATACAAATATCTTATCTGTTGTGCAATTACCTGCTTTAGTTATTTTGTAAGGGTAGCAACACTAAATATAAAAACATACTATAATTTCATTTATATTTATTTAAATATTTATCCTATTATTATTAATCAGCTCATCTTTTATATGACTCATAATATCGGCCAGCCGAGTTATCTCGGTTGCAATGGTTTGTACAAATCCTTCTGTTTTTTTAATACTTTCTAATTTCTCCTTTTCTAATCGCAAAAACTCTGTGGCAGTATCTGGGTCTGTAAAAGAATATATTTTAACATCTAAATATATAATTATTTAAAATAGTATGTCAGTCCTGTAGGGTAGTCTCTTTCTAAGTTATCTTAAAATGCATGGAAGGTTAATAAAATAAAATACTTATACATAGATGTATTAAATAGTTTAATCTCAAATTAAAATGTTCAATTTGCATTATAATAAGTGAAGTTACGTTAGGTAAATCCGTAGACGATAGTAGTTTATAATGCCAATTACAAAAATAATGCTTGATTTGTTAGTTTCCAAAATTCGTTATGTCAATTTGATTAATTTATAAGGCAGTGGTAGCCCAGTGGTAACGCGCTCGCTTGGGAAACTGAGCGACGCGGTCTCGCAACTCTGAATTTTACCTACATGAGCGAGACGTTACCAACATAATTATCACTTGTCTTACAGTAAAGTAAATATAATAAATAATTAAGTAAATACCTAGCACATTTCCGAAATTCTTGTGAAGTTCAACGTTCCGCCCTTGGCAAGCGTGGTGGACTATGGCCTATTTTAGTAAAGGGAGGCCCGTGCCAAGCAGACGGACGTAAAAAAGGGTTGGATACAATAAGTACTACTAAATTTAAACATTATTTTTAGTATAAAAGGAAAAAAAACAACTTTACCACCGCAGTATAGAGTACCTGAATCGTCGTCGGTTTGATAGACTTCTCTGTTCTGAATGCAGTCATTTTCCAAAATACTTTTTGAAGAACATCGCCTTTTTCTGTCCCTTATCTCACTTGATTGTGATTCTAAAAGTTGGAAGAATTTTTATGGAATATGATGATGATGATGTTCTCATTGAGACTAGCCAACTGCGCAGGAGATATTATAGTGCACAAGTGTACGCGCAGACACAAGGGCACTCTCTATTCCTGTCACTCTCATACTCCGGTGGGACGACTGCTCGACACGACCAGTGAGAGTTAAGGCGCAGGACCGACGGCTTTACGTTATCTCCGATCTGTTACTGAGAATTACTATACAGAAAGACTCAATAACTAAACTTGGCCCGACCCGGGACTCGAACCCAGGACCTCCGAATGTGCAGTCGTACATGCTAGCCACTACACCACCGAGGCAGAGTATGGAATATATTAGGTGTCTAATTAGAGACACTTGCGTTCACACAAAGACACTTTTTTTTGTTCTCGACTTCTTAGTTCGCTTTTTATTTTTAATATTACATTATTAAAATACATTGTTAAGTGGTTGTTATTTATTTAAATAGTTACCAAAATTATTAGGTTCAGGATTGTCAGGAATGGCATAGTCTTGTTGTTCTTCAATTTCCTATAAAGAAATGAAAAATTATGAAATATATCCATCAACTTAACACTCTCTTATCTAATTGTTATGGCTACAAACTTTGAGTGGCTCGTAATTTAATCTCTAATTAAGTATGAACCTACAATAAAGTAAATACTTAATTGTTATTATGAACACGTGTAACACCAACCGTATCAGCAAGAGGATCTCTTTTTATAACTACACTATCTAATGCTCTTTCCCCAATAATACTTAGAATATTTTCTTCCAATTGTGAGAGAGGAGTTGAATTTTCCGGTATATATGCATTGCCTTCTTTTGCCGCTTTTTCCTCAAGTGCTCTTTTCCGCACCCTGTATTTCCAGTCACACCAATACTAAAATTTATAATAAATCTTTGAAAACCTAAATACCAAATCAAGGAAATATCTCAAAAAATAACCTAAGTACTTGTTGCTTCTTTTACCATATGTATATAAATGATACAATTATATATTCTGATCTAGGGCCAGGGGCTAATTAATTTTAGTGATTAAAATGGGTTAATTTTTTTATAAAAGAATTAAGTTGTACCTAAAACGAAATCCTTCCGTTGATTTTATAGTTGTGTAACCTGTGACAATGACTGGACATCACTTAATATTACTAACAATGTGTACACGCTAACACTGATACAGTTATAGCTGATAAAGAAATATTATTACTTTGACAACATGTTGTTTTCAAATTCGGTATTTATCACTCGTATGCCCATCTCTGAAAGTGATAAACCAAGAATTGGTTTAGGAATTGGCTGCTTAATACAAGACGTGGGACATCGATGGAAAGAACGGCACCATAAGGTTAACCAAATAAGCCGTTCTTTCTGAAGGGGAAAATAACTTAGATAAAGATGAGTACATAATTATGTATACTAGATACCTTAGACCATCCTTTTCCATCTTTTCTAGCACCATCTTTAAATACGTTAAGTTTCTTAGCACACAAATTCCACAAACTTAAAGTATTTAATTTTCCGCGACGCCCTCTTACCAATCCTTTAGCCAAATCTTGATGACCCCTCATGAATTCCACTAAAGCAACCAGTTGATCAGAATTTACTTGTTTTCTTAGTTTTGGATCTGATAAAAATTATTATTACATTCATCATCATCATCAATATATCAATCATTAATTTTACAAAATATATATATCTATACTAATATTATAAAGAGGTAAAGTTTGTGAGTTTGTGAGGTTGTAGGGGGTAATCTCTGGATCTACTGAACCGATTTAAGTGAACTTTTTATCTCGGAACTCATCCTTTAAGGGGGTGAAAATGGGGATAAAAGTTTGTATGGGGAATCAAGATAGGGACGAACCCGAGCGAAGCGAGGGTATGTCGCTAGTTTTATACATACATAATATGTATGTCTAATATAAACTTCTTTAGGAAATTGCCTTCGTTTAAAGGATTTTTTTTGTAAAATATAAAGTTTATCTATTTTGATATCAAAATTACTTAAGAAGTAATAAATTTCTATAGTTGCAAAGCCTAAATTTTTTACATTACTTCCTGGGTCCGAAGCGTTTTCTTTTCAGACTTACGATAAAGTTAATTTTTAGTGTGATATTCTATTGCTAAATTGAAATTAAGATTTTCACAACAATAAAGAAAAAAAAATTGTATTTCATTGTAGGTATTACTTATAGGTACATAATATTATCTATGTAGGTACAGATATTCGAAGGCAAGTTGCATTTGTATTTTTATTATTAGCACAATTTACTAAGTACTACTAAGTTTTTCTCATTTCATAATTAGCAATTTGTGATTTTATAATCATTAATACTGATTTACGGTAGTAAGAGTATAGTAGACTTACGTTAGTAAAAAAATACTATACGATAATAGTATTTTTGATACAAAAACAGTTATTTTTTATCATCCTTTTCCCTTTAACATACATACCTCTTTCCATTTTAATATTGCCAGAAAAATAAATTTATATATCTATTTCTATCACATCAATTATCAAAGTATCGTTTAGATAACGTATTTTTATCGTCACGAAATCAAGGCTCATGAACCGATTTATCGAGGGCAGTACTAGTGTCAATGTCGCTCGGATAATATCGTCGATATAAAACCGTTCCTACTCACCCATACAAGCAAAAACGTTTTAATAAAAACAATATTAACTACATATAAATCAAGCTTAATTATGTGGATGGTAAATATGGAATGTCTGTTTTAAAAAGTTAATAATATTATGTAACGTTCTATATAGCAATTTCATTTCAATGCGAAAAATTTACATTGCTCTAGAATGTTAAAAGGAACGCTGTTACTAGCAGTGCGCGCGCACAGCGTTGGATTTACACTCGGGGCTAGTTCCCTGGGCGACAAATTTTCAAGAGCGGGAAAAATTCGGAGGGTAGGAAAAAAATTGTCTTCGTGTTATCGAGAACGCTTTCTTTATTTTCCAAAAAACAATTAATTAATTAAAAAAATTAACAAGTACATTTTTCGAAAAATTGAAATCGTTTAGAAATTAGTTTTTTGCGTTTTTCAAAAATTTAATAATTAAAAATAATAACGTTATCAAAACTTTACCCATTTTATTCAAAATTTTGATAATAGGGCGGCATTATTTACTATGACCAGGGGTGGCGCTAAAGTTGAATCCGGCCCTGCGCGCGCAAGCTGTCTTCGGAGAACTTTTAAGCTTCTGACAACGTCCTTGTATATCTATGGCTGGTTTTTCTTTAAGCATTAACGATTAAAAATATTTTACGATTTTTAACCCTAGGAAAGATTTTTCACCGTGTGTTAAACTCTAGCTATATAATAATACCTAAAAAATTACCAAATTATACTACAAAATAATTATTTGTCATTATTTTTGTAATTATATAGCGACGGAAAACATCTCGAGGAAACCTGAATGTCTGAGAGAACCTAGCAAGTTTTCGAAAGGTAATAATCAATAATAATAATAATACCTATAGGTACACTACTTAATAACTAACATTCCACGCTATAATAAAAAGCAAGGCATACTGCCACTATTTCGTTTTAAGAACTACCTTACATGTGGTTGTTCTGCTGGTAGAAGTTATTTTCGAATTTAACCCAGTAGGCAGATACGTGAAGTTCAAGAAAAACAAGATAAACTAAAATCAAATATTGCGTCATTCGTGATTCACAATCATAGCACCTCACAGTACGTATTAGTAATCTATCTATAGTACATACAGATAAATAAAATTGAAGTTTCTGTTTGTAATGTTAAAATAACAGCGTTTTACTAAATGCATATATACGGTACATAAAAGAAAAACACAATTTTTAAAAATTTTGTCTGTCTATTTGTTCTAGCTAATCTCTGAAACGGCTGGACTGATTTTGACAGGACTTTCACTGGCAGTTAGCTGATGTTCTATGGAGTGACTTAGGCTACCTTTATTTTTGAAAAAGAATTAGGGTTCCGTGCAAAAAAATTAAAACCCATGAAATTGTGAACGAACCGGCGTACCTAGAGACGCACCCGCCCGAACGAAGTAAGATTATGTCGCTAGTCGATATATAAATACTAATGATTAGAAATGTAAATTTATTCGCAAAGACATTTTTTTCAATATTTTAATAAAAGATGATATCCTTATTAAAATTAAACTATATCTAATCGAAACACATTTCCGGGATAAAAAATCCATGTATTTTTTTAGTGATGTCCAATCCAAATCAATTTATCTGATTATCAATTAAGCTACAGTAGCAGGATCATCTTTTGTGTTACCAACTCTTTAATTTCTTACCAATTTAGTAGTTTTTTTTTATAACCTAAAAAAGTATATTTTCCGAATCAATGTCAATGAACAATTACGAATTTTAACAATTTGTACATTTGATAGAAATATTATTATCAATCTATAAACGTCATAATATTCGATAGTCATATTATAATATTATCATTTGTCGTCTAAAAATAAGCGTGAAAAATGTTGTTAAGTTCTTATTTCAGGTGGCGCCCCAGAGACATTTTTATGTTAGAATATGATATGCCATTTTGTTTTAGGTTTGTTTTGTTTGGTCATATTATGTAGAATTTGGTCGAAAAATATATCTTGACTATGGTAGCACATTTCTACAATGTAAAAAATAAAAACAATAACCGACTATCGCCGATCGCGTAACGCGTTGACGTTTTGAAGTTGTAAATAACATAACCTCCCGACTCCCGTTCTTTTAGTTATTTTGATATGAAGTGGACTGACTTGAGTATTACATTTTTAAAGTACAATGGTTTATCGTGTTCTGACTGTTGTTATAAGGTTAGTAGTTAGTTTTAATATCCATACACTTATCTATATTTCTCATTTGTATGTTGTTGTAAGTACTGTATACAGTTCTCTGTTTATTTATTTATTGTACATTAATTATACATAATTAGTGATAATCTTGATATCTAATATCTGATGAATCTAATTGATAATCGTGTTTACTACTTGCGCTAGCGGATATTTCAAGAAAATGTGCATTAAATAAAAAAATAATTTTGTTTTTCTTAATAAAAGAAATACTTAAGTATATATTATTAATTTCCTTTTTTTTTAAATATTTTTTTAAACTCATCTCATTAAAAATATTTTCAGTGTTACTATCATTCTAGTTCCAATATTCGCAAACAATCCTTTGTATCTTACTCCATTGATAGATCAAAACAAAACAGCAGAAGCCAGAAATTCTTCTTCAGTTAATTCAGAAATTTTTATCAATGTGAGAAGTTACGCAGGATTTCTAACGGTAGATGAGAGGTACAACTCTAATTTATTTTTTTGGTACTTTCCCAACGCCAACAAAACCCTCAAAGACACACCATGGATAATTTGGCTACAAGGAGGGCCTGGTGGATCAAGTCTAATAGGGCTTTTTTCAGAAATGGGTCCATTTGAATTAGTTGACGATATTTTACAATGTAAGTATATAATGCTAAGAAAATTGAAGAGATTAAATTTAAATTATTTTAATTAAGTACCTTTCTTATTATTCAATGAAAATGTTACATTCAGAATGCAATTTTTCAAATTGAACCCTTGCAAGGAAAATTATTCCCCCTATACTTATTTATTCCCTCTATTTAGGAAAGATAAGTTTAAATTGTTGGGAGGTTGCCCCATTAATGTCCAGCAGTTCAGCCAGGCGTCAAAATCAAGAGACACACTTGGGGGGCGGCTCAACTTTGTGGGTGATGTACCATACGGATTGCTCTTGGTAATTTTAGAGTGGCCGTGGGAGCAATTCCATGGTTGTTATGATATACCTTGGTAGGCCAGCCGTCAAGCCGTCGGGTATGTAATCGATCTTGCGACGCTACATTAAGACGGAGAGGTTCTGTTGGGTTAGTAGATAGTACTAGCTTTTCTGACCTACGGGCCCCACATAACCACTATGTACTATGTATGCAGGTACATTTCAAAACACTAAAAAATGAGACACATATTTAATATGTGAGACGCGGCCTCTGGAGTCAGAATATATAAAAAATATTTTGAGGAGAAGAAGGAGTCAAGTTATGGAGATTTAAAGTTACAATATTTTTATTTAATTCATATGATTTCTAACAGTAAACATAACTTTATCGAATTAAAGAACAACCTATAGTATTCTGTGGTAACCTAGTTTTCTATTACTAAAAGAATTTTCAGAATCAGACTAGCAATTTCACTGATCACCTCCTACATCCAAATGGATATTTAAAAAATTTTACCTCCTAATAATATTAGTGTAGATATAAGATACTTTGCACAACTGCTTAATATATATACTAATACTCTTTTAGTGAGAAAATATTCTTGGTGCAAAGACTTTTCAATGGTTTTTATCGACAACCCCGTGGGCGCTGGTTTTAGTTTTACTGACAGAGAGGAAGGTTATCCTCGAAACAATGATATGGTAAGCGTAAATCGATGACAATTTTTTAGTAATTTAACTTTATGGACTACCTATTATAACAATATTTTTTACTTTTTTAGTATTCAGAAAATCTTTACACTGCAGTAAAGCAACTGATATTATTATTTCCTGAACTCGGTGAAGCCCCTTTATACATCGCGGGTGAGTCGTACGCTGGTCGCTATGTTCCTAACATGGCGATCAAGATTATGAAGGGAAACCAGATGCATAATACTATTAATTTAAAGGTAAGTTAATTTATTTTGAACGTCATATTCAAGATGTTTTTTCAAACTAAACAGTAGATGCTTCACTTGTATATTATTTTATTTAGAGGATTTTAAGTGGTAACACATTTTGTTATAAGTTAGGGTTTGGGAAGTCTTGACATTCTCAAACTCTGGGCACGAGTTCACCCACGATGAATGTCCCGGGACGTCCCGGAACTTCCAAGACTTCTCAGAATATAATTACATTCGAGTAATTTTTTAGCGAAATGTATCAATAAAAAAATCTATTTTAGAAAATTCTACATTTACTGAATATAAAATCAAGTTCTAACTAATCTAATCATTTTCTAAACTATAACATTAATTATAGTCTAAATGATATAAATGGAAAAAATCGACATATCGTAACTAAATTATTTTCCAAATATGGCTTTACGTATTCTAGAATATTTATGTAATACGCATGTTATATGTTTTTAATTGATTTAATATGTTCATACTGCTTTTCAAAAAACGGCACGAATTTTCTAAACACACTAAAATAAAACATTCAGCAAACAAAAATAACTATCGATCAGCGCTATAATTGAACCCACGATTTTAATCGTGGTAACCATTGCTATATGTATACACTACGGTTATGATTCAACCATCCAGCAATGGTTGCAACGATTAAAATAGCATCGTAACTTATGACGCTATCACTTCATAGTATTTTTCACATTAACAGGGTCTTATAATGGGCAATCCAATCTTAGACCGCGACAGTATAGTAGACTATATCCGTATATTCTACGACTGGGGACTCGTCGATTCTCAAGGAGACCTCGCCGTCAAGCCTATTCAAAATGAGTTATATCAGGCTGTGAAAGATGGAAACAATGTAGAAGCAGATGAGGTATTTTATTTTTCTATATTCTAGCCATGTTCAAATACTATGTGTATGTATAGTTGGGCTTAGATTAAATGAATTATAAAGAAATATACCTTAATCCTTAATTTTTGTCCAGCTTCAAACTTTGAAATAATTAAAAAATTTGAAATAATAAAATAAATGCAGTATTTTATATGTGTATGTTACACGTTATATGCCCCAATAGGGAATATGCGTGTGATTTAAATAAACAAATAATCTTTATTGCTTTTGAATTAAACCTTTAATGTAATTTCTTTTTGATTTAGAAAATAATTATTAAAAAGTGCAAAAGCAGGTGAAAAATTCAAAGTAGTTGAAACGCACGCCATTGGTCAGACCGAATATGACGTCAAAGTATTATCATAACAGCGATAGCGGTTTTATCACTTATTAATTTAGTTGTCATTTCTCTGTGTATATTATATTGTGACGTCACACCTGGCACGCGAAATGGGGGGGCGTTTAAAGTATCCGTAACGATATGAAATTTTTAAAATTTATACTAAGGTTTAGTTTTTTGGAGCTGGATATTTTTTTACAATTATGTAATGAATCATATTCCCTATTTTTTATAGATCTATTATTTCTTTTAATGAATGAGTAAAACATATTTCAATTCTAAGTGGTTTAATTCCCTGAACCTTATTCCCTCCACGACCGCGAACACGCCGGCGTGTCAGTTAGCAATAGATTTTTTAGAATTTGAATTAATTTTTTAGAAATTTACCTGGAGGCATTATCTTGTTACGACCTTTTTATTAAAAAGTAATTATAATTATAAATTAATAATTAGTGTTACGTAGGTCCGACGAAAAACCGGATATATGTATATAGGTTTAGAAGATAAATTATGACCAATTTTAACGATTAATTTGTTGTTTGTTTAATAAAACTTACAGTTACGGAATAGAGTCCTAAGCGAGCTTGAAGAGATATCTTATCGAAGGGATTCATACAATCTACTAAATGATGATGTTGTGACAGGAGTTAAAACGTTTGTACCCTTCGTCACAAGTCAACGTGTTAGAACAGCAATTCACGTCGCAAACCAAACTTTTATGTTCAACAATCTAAAACTACATCAGTATCTGTTAGCCGATTTCTTAGCACCCGTGTCTTCCAAAATCCAAATTTTGTTGCAAAGCTACAAAATTTTAATATACTGGTAAGAATTTGTTATGTCTTAAATAAAAACTTAAAAAAAACCGACTTCCATGCAGTAAAATATGAAAAATATTTTATTTTTCTTTTCCCTTTTTAGTGAGACGTAATAAGCAGGTAATTTGTAAGAAGAAAGTTTTTTAATAACATATTCGATTAAACAATTTCTTTAAAAAATATATTTATTGTTAATTTTTTTTAAAATCGCTCGACCGATTTCGATAATATTTATATGGGACCGACCACCTGGGAAGTATACCCTTTTAAACAAAAAAAAATCCGAATCGGTTCAGACGTCTTCGAGTAGTCGGTGAACATACATAAAAAAATATTCCGACGAATTGAGAATGTCCTCCTTGTTGGAAGTCGGTTAAAAAATTGCTTAAATGTAATGTGCAAACTTAAATGAAAGCGTTTGCTTGTTTTAAGTTTGTGTGTTTTTATAAACTCATATGAAAATGTTGTAATTCATTCAGCGGGCAACTAGATCTTACAACGCCATGCGTCCTCAATGCTGAGGGCCGGCGGAGGAAGTGGCGTTGGAGTGGTCGGGAATCGTTCTTCAAAGCGCCGCGAGTACCGTGGTGGCTTGACGATAAAGTTGTTGGGTAATGATTTTATGTGTTTTTTGGTAATTTTCGTGGATAATTTGTAAAGATTATAGATTTATAGATGCTATAGAGTTTTTTGTGGATAATTTATTACGTAGATATTTTTGTAACTACCAAATTAATGTTGCAAAAGTGTTCATGAATAGCGTTTGTTCCTTTGTTTATAAATTATAGTTTAATGAACCTACCTTTCTCCGTAAGTCTTACTGTCCCCTGTCCGTTGGCGGCGACAGGGGACTGTGAGGCCGTGATGCCAGCGATATAAAAAAGGTAAAAAATATATTAAAACGTAATAAATTAACGCATGAGCACAAATTTCACTCAAATATGTTGAGGCTCTTGTGTCCGAATATTTAGGAAAATTAACACCTTCAGGTAAATTTCTAAGAAATCTATTGTTAACTGTATATAATCATGTATTTTTACAGATATGTGAAATCTGGTGGGGGTTTAACAGAAGTGTTAGTAACAGGCGCCGGACACTTAGCACCAGCGGACAAACCCGCGGAATTACAACAACTTATCACGTATTTTATCAATGGACTCGATTTACCGAGACCTCCATCTTACACGCCCGATGTGAATATACCAAATTACGAAGAATATACCGATTTATATTACTCAGCGAATGTCTCGCAAATAACGCCGGGTTTAATTGCTAGTATTGTTGTTAATGTTTTGTTGCTTATAGGAATTGTTGTCGGTGGACTCTTAGTTTGCAGATGGAAGCGGCATTATGATATTTTGCCGTTCGATGATAGCGTTCTTACTCTGACGTGACGGCATTATTAAAAAATCTGAATGTGGAAACTAAATTATTCAAAAATTGACAAAAAAGAATTAACAATCCTAGTCAATTCGTTAAATGTTTTTTGTCGTGTCTTGTCCGTAATCGGCCATTGGCGATGCAAGTTAATTATGTAATTAAATAATATTGTATAAAAGAAACCTAATTTAATGCACTTTTAGAACTTAAAGTTAGGTTTAGGTTTGATTTGGATACGTGGATTTTAACGCACAAGGCGTGATTCTCAAACGTAAAGAGGAGAGTGCGTTTGTCATTTCTTCGCGTTATGAAGAAGTTTAAACTAAATTACTTATAAGATATATTTTTTATTCATAATTAATATATTACACAAGCGAAGCTGTGAACTAAAACTAATGTAGTATGAATAAATGAATAAATTTATATCAAAATAATTTATTTTTATAATACATTTTTATTTGAAAAATTACATTTTTTATTTAACAATAAATAGGGTTTCCTTTATTTCCCATGCTTTTTTTATCATAAATTACGCCAGATATACACGTTTAAAATAAATATGATTTGTTTATTTCCCACAAAATATTAAGAGATAGATAGGTATTTATTATATTTGAGTTTCAATTCTCAGAAAATTAAGATTTTTTTAACTTGTTTTTTACTATGTAATGTATATTATTTTAACTAAAATTCACTTAAATTCAAAAAACGAAGAACTCAATAACTAAACTTGGTCCGACCCGGGACTCGAACCCAGGACCTCTGAGTGTGCAGCCGTACATGCTAGCCACTACACCACCTAGGCAGTTAAAAAAGTAGATTATATATAAGTAATAAGTATAGGTTACTGATATACTTATCTATACATATAATAAAATTCTAACTAAGCTGAATCTGTACATTAAATACTTATTGGAATTTTTTATTGAAATAAACATTATTATCGATACAGAGGCCGAATCTATGGTTTTTAGAATTTTTGTCTGTCTGCCTGTCTGTTACCACATCACAGAAAAACCACTGGAGGGATTTTGATGGAATTTGGTATGGTGATAGCTGGTTATCCAGGTCAACATATAGAATATTTTTTACCGCGGGAAAACATCTCATTTCTGAGAAAAAATACAAAAACTGCAATGTAAGAGTATACTAATATGTAAAACCTAAGAATTTAGTTTTTGGACATCTAAACGCGGACGGAGCTGCGGGCAGTGCTAGTTAAGATTTAAATAAGCAAGTTTTAGAGTAGATGTACCTACTCGTAATATCAATTAATCTCGAAGGATGCGTCCTAGTTCCCATCGGCGAGCTTTCGTCATAACCCAGCAAAATAAGGCTGTGAACATCCTTAAGACAACGATAAAATATTATCGATTTATGTAGGTATATTTAATGTTAGTCAAATTTATTATACGAACGGAAAATAAATACTACTTACAAGTTGGCTTGAAAAAATATGATTTTTAATGCTAGTTAGGTATTTGTATATCTTGTTATAAAGTACAGATGAAAATACCTTCCCTACCCTTAAAGGTATGGCTAGACTATTTTTATGTCTATGAACTTGTAGGTATAGCCAGGGCAGGCACATATTTACCGCCATACGACTCGCTTCCAATAAATAATGGAGCTTTAAGAAGCTCCGGAAACATAAGAAGAAACTGTTGCAGAAATTCGTATATTTTAGCGCCAATCTATAAAACGTATTAAACTGTAAACTTTTGTATAAAATGATGAAAATAGTACACATTAATAATAGTATCTGGGTGACCGAGCTTCGCTCGGAGTTCTTTTTTGTTATATCGTATTTAAAAAAAAAAACAAAAGTAAAAACTTTGTATCCGACCGGGATCCGAACCCGGCCACCCGTGATTGTCAATCTTACGCCTTGGTCGCTTGACCACGATGCTTATGCGCGAAAAAAATAAAACCATATCTTGCGTGGAATAATGCGAAAGAAAACCACATAAAAACTCGAAAACACGCGTTTTCCCAGACATAAGACTAATCTAGATCGATTTTTCGCCCCCAAAAACCCTCGCATACCACATTTCAGCGAAATCGTTAGAGCTGTAGCCGAGATCGCCGGTATAAATGATTAAATAATAAATATATACAAGAATTGCTCGTTTAAATATTTTAGATATCAGTGTTTAAAAACTAGTCTATTTAGAACCATGCATGAGGTGAGAAAGAAGATATAAAGTGAATGATTGTGGTTTCAGCGCTCATTCATGGTTAGGTACTCTGTACTCCGTAGTGCTACTATACACATGCGATATAAAATGACTATGATATAAAATTACTTAACTTTAAAATACGTTTTTAAACATTTTAAAACTTTTTTTTTACTCACATCTTCCGTATTATTAGGATATCCGAGGTCATCGTCTGTGAAACTGAACCCACCCACGGGATTGTCGAGAAACAAAAGAGAATAGTCATCAGCCCATGTCACATTTCGAAGAGTTACTGAAAACATTACGGAAAATATGTATATTATTAATCATAAATGAAATTTGTTATTAACTGGTTGATTCCCCATACAAACTTTTATCCCCATTTTCACCCCTTTAAGGGATGATTTCCAGGATAAAAATTGTCCTATGTTCTTCCCAAGGTCTCAAGCTCTTACCAAATTTCATCTAAATCGGTTCAGTAGTACCAGAGATTACCTCCTACAACGTCACAAACTCAACCGTCAACAAACTTTACCTCTTTATAATATTAGTACAGATAATAAATGAAAATTTATAAAGAGCCTAATAAAAAGGAAAAATACTAGTTTAAGCTCAGTGTACTTATAATTTAATGTGACTACATATTAAATAAAAAAATTAGCAATTTAATATCATTATTTTATGTTGTCGTTGAGAACTTAATTAAAATGACAAAAGCAAAGTTAAAAAAATTCTTTCAATTTATTGTAACAGTTACCACGAAGCATGCAGAGAATTTAATTGAAATTGTCTGAAGTGCCTGAAATCTGAACTAGTCTAAACTCTAAACCAATGTTCTCTTTAGTCGTCTTAGCGTTTGATAAACATGTTTTTATATACATTCCTAACAGATCAATTTGGTATCTCGCACCACAAAAAAGCCGATACAATCATTTATTTAAAAAAAGAATGTTCATTAATAAATAATCAATTAGATAGATAGTATAAAATATGATGTTGAAAATGGTTTTTAGCTAATAATACCTACGATTACGCAATAAATAAATTAAAATACTGACACTCGTTTCTCACGATATTTTTTATCTATAACTATAATAGGTACCTACATTTTCCTTTAATTTGTGCTAAAGAATATTTAAGCTTTATTTAAAAAAATACACTACCTTCGCCATTAACAATTTGTAATGGACCAAACAAATCAAATAATCCTTTCATTGAAGAGATGCCTGGACCACCTTGTAACCAAATGATCCAGGGTGTCTCCTCTAACAGCTCTTTTGGGAAAAACCAGAAGAATAGATTTGAATTAAATTTTTTGTCAACGGTAATAAAACCCGAATAACTTTTTACATTGAGAAATTTAGTTGGATGCACTTCAGAAATGGTTCGTGCCTCGTGAGCTCTTCCCGATTCTATTAATGGAATTAAAATACTGCATTCCGTACATTTAGGCTCAGCAACTGGAAAGCTTAAGCGTATTATTAAAATAAATTTTATATGATACAGATAAAAGTTTTCATTAGAATTTATGTTTCAAACATTCTAATATTACAAAGCTGTTCTTTATTTGTTTGAACGCGCTAATTTTTAGAATTACAAACGGCATACTTATTAGATTAAAAAATATCTCTCTTCCATTTTACGGCCTATGTTTTGAGGAAGGCTATCCAAATACTCGCTACGACCCTTAGTAGCGTATACAAGTTATACATACGATCAAAACTGCGGGTGAAAGCTAGAGCCCATTCTAAGTGCCATACTCATAGCAAACATTAAAACTATAATTAAAATAACCGCAAGTAACTTTATTTACCTACCTGATATAAAATAACACGATTATAAGAAAACTAATCATTCTCGAATAGGTATATGTATGTTAGAGAAACTAGGTAGAATATGATTAAAAACCCTAAACGTCTGAAGTAATGCTATGGATTTATTTTATTTAACTTTAGCAATTTATGATTAAGTGTGAAGATAATTTAGCTACGTTGTTACGAGTAAAATGACTCAACGTACATTAGGTTATATAGCGCAGTGAGACTATGTGTTGTATGACGGAGTGAGAGGGTTCCCTTGTAGTGACCATTTAATGTTTGTATTTGTCACACTGATGTTAAATTTTTATCTTTTTATCTCTTCCCTATTATCGATTCCTACCTACCTATTAATTAAATGAAAACTCTTTTTGAATAAAACTATCTTTTCGGATTATTTCGCGAATATTTTACTGTTATTGCGATCTACACAGTATGAACTAACTACATCTACTAGTCTGTTATATTTGTTTTTGTTGTTAGATTTTATTATGTTTAATACAGGATCCCAAGACGATGGACATCTTCCCTATTGAAGTTAGGATATTTTTTAATTTCAATAGCTTGGCGGATCATCCTGGGGCAATAACGGTTCTCTTTCGCGAATATTTGTGGACTATCAAAGCGAATGTAGTGGCTCGGGCGATCCTGGCTATGTTTATAGAGTGCAGATGTTGTATTGCGACGGTGCTTCACATGAGATATGTGTTTTTTGACCCGAGTTCTAATGGATCTCTTTGTTTGTCCGATGTAGGAGAGTCCACAATCACAATCAAGTTTGTATACCCCTCCATCTTGGAGAGGGATGTTGAACTTGTCAGGTGGTAAGAACTGACTAATTTTCTTTGGCGGCTTGAAGTAAGTTTTGATTGAAGCACGCTTTAGGATGTAGCCAATCTTGTCAGTGACTCCTCTAATTATGGCAGGACTGCAGGGACGCGCTCGACTGTGGCTGGTTTCACTCGGTCCCTAAGACGTAGACGCGGCACTTGCAGCTTGTTTTCTCGCAGAACTTGCTTGAAATGTTGCAGTTCTTCGGCCAGGTGTTGCTCGTCACCGATCCCACGCGCTCTCTGAAACAAAGATTTTCCCACGGTAGCTAACTGTGAAGGATGGTGGTGAGATTCACCCTTCAGGTACCTATCAGTATGGGTCTTCTTTTTATACACAGTATGACTCAAGATGTTATCTAAAAAAAACTTTAAAAAAACCGACTTCCAGGCACTAAAATGTAAAAAATAATTAAACAGGGGTTTTCATTTAGAATAGATACCTAATCAGATATTTTCGAAGTCGGTGCCAGCCCACGCATAGGAAATCTAATATATTTTGATACGTTAAATATATATTTATCTATTAGATATTCATATCTTAAAATATTGTCCGCTGGCATTTATTGTTGATTTTTTTTAAACCGCTCGACCGATTTCGGAAAAATTTATATGGGACCACCTGGAAGTTAAACACTTTCAAACAAAATAAAAAATTTCCAAATCGGTTCTGACGTCTTCGAGTAATCGGTGAAAATACATTAAAAAAAAGATTCCGACGAATTGAGAACCTCCTCGTTTTTGGAAGTCGGTTAATAATCCGAAAAGATAGTTTTATTTAAAATGTCAAATATTCGCGTAAATCTAAGATGTCTAAAACTTTACCAAGAATTCGGATAAAATATCTGAATTTTGAACAACCTTGAGAACTGCTGAGATAGCGGTAGAATTAAATAGTAGGTAAAGGCAATTCAAAATTCAAGTTCAAAATGAAGTAACTATACGTAAATCCCTTCCACGCAAAAATTTAGCAAGTACTTGCGACTCCTCGATAGTCATTAGGAGCATACCGAAATTGGCTGCGGTACTTATCAGACTAGGGACGAGCTGGGATAGACCTAAATACTGGTCATACTCTTGAGGGCCTTTATTACGACCATCATCTTTGGCAACACCTAAGCCTTCGTCTTTGAGTAAGATACACCAACATCTTTATTCGGTCATAGACAGATGGGTTCCCACTGTTGCTCAACGTGTTCTCCTATTTCCCAGAATAATGAAAAGGGACGATCCTCTTCCTCCAAGAAGTTCATAGAGCACAAAACCAATTCTTGACCTCACGATTACTCCACTTGCCTCACAGGACCTCCCTATATTGCAGGTATACTCTCAAAAACCGCTGAAGATAGAAAGTCCTCATATAAACCTAATATAATTTATCTATAATAATATTACAAATATTTTGTAGAAGTGTACATAGTGTAGTACGGATCTACATTATCTAGGTTAGGTTAGTAAAAATTGAAAAATGTTGATTATACATAGGTACCTAATGTTAAGAATTTGATCAGTTTTTCAATTTTAAAGTACCTACTTGGAATATTCCATTAGAAGATTCTAAGTATACTTAATAGTAATAATAAACGTCTTTTTTAATTCTTTATCACATCCAAAGTGACTCAATTTCGTAAACAACTATAAATATTAATTAATGTTTATATTATTGCTATAGCTTGAGAATAAAAAATATCAAAAAAAAGTAAATCGTTTCCAAAACGCTATTTTTCTAATCTGAATACGCCGAATCATTGAATGATACAAAACATTATTTATTAATAATCTCGATTAAAAAGCGAACCCTCATCAGCGCCTATTCATATCGTCAAGATAATCTCTGATGTCTCGGAAACATAATTTGAATGTATAATTTATGGTCAGAAAAAAACCCTGTGCGTGGGAATATCTCGGTACGGGCCGAGTAACTCGCTGGCTATTATGGACAATTATTACAACGTTCACGTAGCAAGTGTAACGCATCGATGTTTGTTTTACTATCAACATCCTAAATATAGAGCAAATCACATTTTAAGAGCGTGCAAGAATCTATCGCGAATGTCGGGAGCGTGGGAGCCGTTTTATGCTAAACAGGTCATTGGTACCCCATACCTGTTCGATACTTGTATACAGGCTGGTTTGTATTTGTGAGAAGATTCATTTTATTTTTTTATTGTAATTTAATAAATTAATGGTATTGTAATATAATACTTTACATTTAATATACACACTTAATATACATAGATATAATGCTTTAAATTAAAGGTTTTATAAATAATGAACGCTGTTACTAGTTATTAAAATATTAAGAGACTGACTGAGTCCGAATTTTATGACATTTTTTTTTAATGTGTATACCTGCCCAGTGCCACCCATATTCATGCCTTTTTTGTTTTCAAGTTTAGTTATTTATTGAAAAAATAAAAAAAATCTGATAATATTTCTATTACATAGAAATATAGAATATGTTACCAATCTTTAGTAAATAGATATTTATTCTTATTTCAAAAGGTTTTTTAATCAAGCCCGTTTTTTTGCATTTGTAATGCAACTTATAACAAACAGTTATTTCATTTCAAATACATATATGTATACAATTTCATTACAAAAATCGAAAATTGTACTATTATTGTTATAGTTACCTTGTACTTATAAGGAACTAAGTACATATATAACTTTACATCCTATAATAAAATGTAAATCTGAATAAAAACTGCAACACTCTAGTTAATAAAAATATTTCATATCTTGAAGTTGAGATAAAATTTTAAATTTAATCTCAAGATAGAAATTTACATGATGATAGTAATAAACATTTATAACAAATAACAAGTTTCGCCGGACACGCTGTACATAAGATCGAGATAAATCCAAGTTCAAGGCACAAGTATAGAGCGAGAGACGCCGGTATACAAGGTTCCTGTCGCGAGTACTACAGTTCCATTCCGACGCCATCCCCCAGGGCGACCACTACTTAGTCACTCTATCTTAAGATGTACTTCAAATGGCTGTTTGTTTTAACGTGAGTACACTTTGACTGTGGGGTCAAATGTCATTTTTCTAAACAATTAAATTTCTTTTATATATTTTACGTACATACATCTTTAACACGCTTTTTAATAGAAATAGTTATCTTTTATAAAAATCAAGTAAATATATAGAGCGGTAACATTAAACGTTGTTCTCGATACCGTGGGAATGAAGCTAAGTGCTCCGTTGAAATCTTTTCTTAAAGTATACAACTTACTTGCATAATGAAAATTTATAGTGTATTTTGATTATATATAAGTACACTCTTTATCATTACCTATATAAAAAATAAAATAAAACATATCATATTATTTTAATAATAAATTTTCGAGAACTCGTACATTTCAATAAGTGTAATAATTAATTTTATTCTATAAGATATTAATCAATGATAAATAAAATATATAATCATTCAAATAATATATTGAGCACTGATATTTCAATATCTGATAAAACAATCCATCATATATTCATTCATCAAATATCAAAACCTGACTGAATACAAATAGTTAAAATTGAAAATGACTATAATTTTTAATCTTTTTAAATTATTATCTTTAAAAAAACATCTAATAATTAAGAACTATATATGTAATTGTATTTAAATTTAACAGTTATAATAATTATTCGTTTCAGATGCATACATTACATAACATGTTTAGATCAATATTCACTTCCGGAATTGCCTCCGGGCGAAGCACCGGAACCGATCGTATCTTTTATGGAAAGAGCATATCGGCCTGGACGAGCTCGATCAAGCTATGATGGTGGAGAACCTCTTCTCCTCACACCGCTAATTGAAGGAAATAAGCTAGAGGAAGCAAGAAAAGCGGCATATGTAGACCCTGAATATTTGCTACCCGGCATGACGAGCTACGCGGGATATTTAACTGTAAGTTTAATAATTTTGCATGTCCTAATATTGTGCTATCCCGTTTTACTAAAGCCAATCACATTAGCTGTGAATAGGAACAAATTGCTGCATTCTAATTTAAATTCATGGATGGTACTAATTGTGTAGTCTCATACAGGTAGGTAAATTCTACAGGAAAAATTTGATCTTGTGCTACGTTTTCCTTGTATGTATCATAGTTAGTTTTTAATCTAATATATATGAACTAAAATAAATAATATAAAATACATATTTTTATTATTTCTAAGATCTTGATGACGAAGAATAAAAACGGACATATAAAATATATGTGTATATATATATATATATATATATATATATATATATATATATATATATATATATATATATATATATATATATATAAATGAATTGCCGTTCATTAGTCTCCCTAAAATACAAAAACGGCTGGATCAATTTGAATAATTCTTTTTTTGTGTTGTTGGGTGTGTTAGATGTGGTTTAAGTATAAAAAAATTGGGAAAACAGTTGGAAAATCGGAAATTTCAGAACTGTTTATTTTGTACCTATGTATGCATAATAAAAAGTCTATCATTTCATAGTAAACGTGAAAACGTACCTAGGGGCAAAGGCGAACCCTAGCAAAGCAAGGGTGAGTCGCTAGTATTATATTATACATCTTTCTTCTTTATAACATCTATTTATCAATTTCCTTATCAGGTAAACAAAGAATACAATGCAAATCTTTGGTTCTGGTACTTCCCCGTGGCAGAGAAGTCAGTGGAAGAAACTCCTTGGATAATTTGGCTTCAGGGCGGGCCCGGAGCTTCATCATTATACGGCCTTTTTACTGAAATAGGTCCTTTTGTTGTTACAGAAAACCAATTAGAAGGTAAATTTTTGTTGACAACATTCATATGTAATAGTAATATTTTCTTCGGCTCCGCATGCTGACAATCATTACCCGAATAACTTTTAAATTATTCGAATAATTTACACTCGTTCATACATTTTTATTTATTATTCCAGAAATAAAGTACTCTTGGGGCAAGAACCATTCTCTTCTCTTCATCGATAATCCTGTGGGAACTGGTTTTAGTTTCACTGACGATGACCGCGGCTTCACAACTAATCAAACTACGGTAAATGATTTTTATTGCCTTCGTTAAATTATATGTACACAATATAAGATATATGTTCATAAGAAAATAGGCAATTAATCGATTAAATTTTCTACATCTAATTCATTATAGATTGGTGAAAACCTATATACAGCGCTACAACAATTCTTGACACTGTTTCCGGAACTGCGCAAAGCTCCACTTACGATCGCGGGAGAGTCATATGCTGGAAAGCACATACCGTCACTTGGTGTACAAATACTTTGGAACAAATATAACGACGAACCTATCAACTTACAGGTTTGAAATACTAAATGACTACATATAGTATTTTTTAAAGAAATATATTTTTATAGTTTTAACTAGCAGTGCCCGCGGCTCCGCCCGCCTTCAGATGACCAAAAACCAAATTCCTAGGTTTTACATATTAGTATACTCTTACATTGCAATTTCTGATTTTTTTTTCTCAGAAATGAGACATTTTCCCGCGGTAAAAAGTATCCTAATGTTGACCGGGATAACCAGCTATCACCATACCAAATTTCATCAAAATCCCTCCAGTGGTTTTTTTGTGATGCGGTAACAGACATGCAGACAAAAATTCTAAAAACTATAGATTCGGCCTCTGCATCGATAATAATGTCTATTTCAATAAGATTTTCCAAAAAATATTTAATGTACAGATTCGGCTTAGTTATAATTTTATTATATGTATAGATAGATGTTTAATAATACTTAATGTTCTAGTTTTTTTTCTTACAATCTGAATTTGACTCTTAACTAAGCTGATAATCGCGAAAACATGCAAGTCACAATTTTTACACATAAAATATTTTTTTAGGGGCTAGCCATTGGTAATGGCTTTATCGACCCTCTAACCCTGCAAAGGTACAGCTATTTTGTTCGAGAAACTGGACTAGTGGACAATAAAGTAGCTAACTTCATGTTACAAATAGAAACTGCTGTGGTGCAGTTCATTAATTCAGGAGAAATGCTAAAGGCATACGCGGTAAGATTTTGTTTTTATATCTAGTATGTACTGGTACTCGTAATTAGGAACTTATTTAAAAATAAAATAAAATTAAGTTAAGCGACTTTTTAATTTTTTCTTGAAAAAACTCACAACTCTAATTGCAAATTTCATTAACTCAATCGACTATAAATTGAAACACATATATATGTATAACTAAAAATATAAAATTCTTTGTAATTTTTAGATTAGTGTAGATAAAGTTCGGGGATAGTTATAGACTAAAGAGTAATATTCTAAGTAAAACCAATCTAATTTTAATTTGTTTTCAATTACATAATATGTTTTTTTACTTTGTCGTTTCAGTATTACAACTATCTCCTACAACTATTCCTTTCTGAATCTAAACTGAAAAATCTTTACAATTATTTGGAAGACGACATCAGTCTAGACGGTGCTTATCTCGACTTCATTCAAAGAGACGACATAAGACGTGCTTTGCACGTTGGAAGCACTAACTTCACGTCTATTGGAGTAGTATACCGGAAGCTTGTGCCTGATTTTATGGCTAGTGCTAAGCCCTGGCTTGAAGAGTTGCTTGAGAACTACAGAGTGATGCTTTACAAGTAAGTTAACTATTATTATACGGCATGTTTAAACATACGCAATAACTTTTACTAAGTATCTATATATTAATTAATACGTGAAGCAAAAACTTTGTACTTACTAATTTTTACAAAAATTGCGCGGACGGAGGAGTATAAAATTTCCCACACTTACCGTTTATATAGAGATGGAGTGCAGAATGCTATTTTTTTAAATATGCATAAAAATACATTAAATCAATAAAAAACATTACACACAGTACCATGTATTTGACACACACACGCATATATACTCTTTTGTTTATTGTTAAAGTCTGTGCTCAAATTGAGAATAGAAATTAGAACCTCAATATCGATCAAACTTAAGGAATTATGGTTGATTTTCAACCACTTGGCGATCACTAGTATCTATAAATTTTGTCTTAATTATGCACATCGTCTAATTACCGCTTTGAGGAACTTCCTTTAGCCGTAGAACTTCAATGGATCCTGTAAATTATAACTCTGTTGCAAAACGTTCGATCTCCTTTAACTATAAGTAGGGTTAGTTACAACACTTATAACTCTAAAACGGCTGGACCGATTTTAATGATCTTTGATTTGTTGGATTTGTCTCTGCCCCGAATAGCAGAATTACTATTTTTTATATATATATATATATATATATATATATATATATATATATATATATATATATATATATGGCTGACGCCGTGACGCCGGCTAATAACTGTTAATTTTAAACGTACCTAGGGACGAACCCGAGCGAGGTAGTTAATTAATAAAAGTTTATACCTACAAAATGTTAAGTACCTACCATTAACCTAATAAAAACATTTTACGTTTCAGTGGCCATCTGGATATTATTGTGGCGTACCATCCATCTGTTAACACTTACGAGAATCTCTCATTTTCTGGCACTACCGAATATAAGACTGCTAAACGCAGAACATGGTACCATGATGGAAATCTAGTGGGGTAAGATTTAATGGATAACTTTGTGTTAAAATCTAGAAAAAATTATAAGCTTTAAGGATAATCATTAAGGTCTAGCAAAGCTAAGCGCTCAAAACTATTTGTGGCTGAACCTGCCTTTATCATCCAAAAAATAATTTGTTCTATTACACTTCTGCAAAAATTATTTAACAATATTTTAGCATTGAATAATAAAAATAAATTTATATTTTGCTTACACTACAAAGTTTTATAATTGCCAAGTTGTTGCGCGGAGTCTCTAATATATTTTCATTTAAACAGGTATTATAAAACGGCTGGCAATCTAACAGAAGTGATGATTCGTGGCGCCGGACACATGGTGCCTGCGGACAAACCTGCAGCATCCCTTGGTCTCATCTCTGCCTTCGCTCGCGGCATCTCCCTCGAAAAAGACACCGGAGTGCTAGTGGACGTAGAAAAAAATTTGAGGTTTCGTCAGCTGCCTGTGTAGAAAACAATACTAAAAAAATTATTTTACTCACAATCTTAATTTTTTATATAGTTAAGTTAATATTCTTAATGTAGTTATAATTATGTAAATAGTTAAAAAATATATAATTTAGGAAAAGTTTTTTTTGTATTTTCAATACCTATATTTCTTCTAATATATCTAATTAAAAATATACCTAACTAAAAACTTATTTAAATCTATTGTCTGTATATGTATATAAAGAACATGCTATTAATATTGCCATATGCTTAATTATATAATAGCAGGGGAGCCCAAGAGGGGATTTTTGAAGTTACTCAAACGCGGCAGATTAACATATATATAGGGGGGACCTTGCAGTCTGTTGAGCACGTCCACCATAATATAAAATTCAAAAGTCTAAAATAAAATATAAATAAACTAAACTATTGTTTCAATGTACTTTTTGATTGTTATGCATCGAACGTATACTCAATTCTTGAACATACGTAAAAGACCTATAGTAGTTGTGAAAGAGAAAAAAAAATAGACAGCATCACTTTAATGGGAAAGGTTTCTAGAAAGGGGTACGCCACACGTATGGCCTATTTACAAACAGTCTGAGGTAAAGCTATTTGTTGTGATATCTCCGTATTTACACATGGTTGTTTTGCTTCTATTGTGTTCGCATCTTACCCGAAAGTTAGACCATTTGAAGGAAGAATTGAGTAGGAAAGGTACATCCTGTGGTGTTCCTGACTGACTGATGGATACACACAAAGCTTAAACCGCTGATCGTAGAAATGTGAAATTTGGAAGACGTATTTCGTGTATGATGTAAGCAGTCAATAACAAAAGATTTTTTGAAATTCACATCCTAAGTGGGTAAAATAAGGGCTAAAAATTGTATAAAATTCCGTCGTTCTTAATGTGAATACGCAGAAAGTGATGTTTAACTTTAAGATATAAAAGAGAAATATATTTATTTAATTTTTCTCGAAATCCATGCCTTAAAGGGGTAAAAGGGACTAATAAAGTTTATATGGTCAAATAATTATTTATAATCAGAATTACTTGAAACTTAGTATTAATGCCCTTCAAATTCAATAAAATTATATTAATAAGTGTTTTAGCATTTTTCGAAATTCATTCCCATGAGGGGGTAAAATGGAGGATGAAAGTTTGTATGAAACTCTGTAATTAATATGTAAAAAAGTACAAAAAAAATTCACCTGTAGACGATTTAAGAGTTTTAAAATCACTTTCTTTAAAATGATGTCCATATAGCCTTAAATATAAAGATTGTGATTTCGCCAATTTTGGCCGTCTTATTGCTTTAGCCCACAATGTATTCGGTTTTTCTCTTTCGGGAACATATGATATTCATTTTCTCTTCTTCTTCTTCTCCCTGCCCATTTCCCAAATCACTTGGGGTCGGCGCAGTACATCTTCAGTGTACTGCTGATAGGATTTGGCAAAAGTTTTACGACCGGCCGCCTGCCTGACGTCAACCCTCCTTGGGAATGCTATTGTCTTTCTTTGTCTGAATGGTGTTAAATATTATGCACTTTCGATTTTGTTGTGTTTTAAAACATTTTTTGTACTATTAATTCAATTATTAATGTTATTTTTGGATATATTTTAAAATAAATATCGATTACACAAAAAATTTTGTATTGACATTGTCAAATTTTTTCTTAATTTTTTCTTTTTCATTTTCTCTAATACTACACAATACTACATAATTTGCTATTTTAATTAAATGCAAAAAAAATTCATCCACACTCTAGAGCTTCACAATTTACTGTGGACCATAGTGATCGCGATATCTGGCGGGAGAAAAAGGCAAAATCTTCCACATTAAAATAGTTTCATATTTCAGTACCACTAGCATTATGATTGCATGATATAGGTAATTTTTTGTATGTTTTGTAACGCAACATGAACGTTTTACATTGACTCGTAGATTTGCATTTGACATCATCTTGTCTTTTTCATTCTATTTATTTAATTTCGGTTATATACAATTAATCATAAAACAACTTCAGTGTTATTCTTATTTTAGTTGTAGCCATCTAGCATTTAGCTAACTTTTTGCTAGTGTTAAGTGAGATTACACATTAAAGCAGAATGTTTTTTTAATATGCAAAACGGGGACTTAAAATTATGATAGCTTAGTTTGTTGCCGTTTTTACTATTCCAGTTTTTACTGGATGTATCGATTAAATAGGTATCGATTAGTATATACTATAACAATATTGTAGTTTATTATGTATTCTGTGGGTAATTTGTTATAATCTGTCAGCTGGTGGTGACTGGTGACGTTTTCGATCTAAGTGCGACTGCGAAGGGATAGCTTATTGTGAATTGTTGAAAAACCGGGTGAATTTCCCGGTATTACTTTGTGATTTAGGTGATATACGATTATGTGGGTTTCATCGTTACATGTGTACATTTTATGATATTATTCCTAAAGAAAATTATTCTATTAGGCACAAAATTACAACACACCATGTCTCTTTTCTTGTATGTGGTTTGCGCATTACTGCTGTTGACACCCATAAGAGCCTTTTATTTACCTGGATTAGCCCCCGTAAATTATTGTAAAGCTGGCGAAGACTTAAAAAAACCATGTAAAGTAAGTACAAGTTATATTCGAAGATAACACCAATGGTAATATCTTAATGGTATTTCCGTCATTGTTTTACTCTCGGACCACGTTTACTATAATTAATAATTATTTTTTACCTAATAACAATATTGAATAAGAATTATAACTCCTTAAATATCTTATAAAATATTTAAATAAATCTCAATTTTTATAATTCCATAGTTATAGTTAGGACCTCTCAATACAATATATAATTGGGTAATCAATATTTTTACCATAGAAAATTTATTTGTGTGAACATGTAATTTAACATGGGTTACTTTTTTTATTTTGTTTGAATTTATTATTAGTAATTTTTAATACTTTCAGAATGAAATACCTCTTTATGTAAACAGACTAAATACAGAAGAATCAGTCATACCTTTTGAGTATCACCATTTTGACTTTTGCTTTTCTGATGAAACCCAATCACCTGTTGAGAATCTTGGTCAAGTAGTCTTTGGAGAGAGAATCCGGCCAAGTCCATACAAATTGTACTTCCTACAAGATGAAAGTTGTAAGGCTGTATGCCCTAAAGTTTACAAAGGATCAGATCCTGAGTCAATAAAGAAATTAAACCTTTTAAAAATGGGAATGGCTCTTTATTATCAACACCATTGGATTCTCGACAACATGCCAGTTACATGGTGTTATCTGGTCAATGAAGGTGGCAAAACATACTGCAGTACTGGATTCCCTATGGGATGTCAAGTTAGAAAAGATTTGGTGAGTTTATTTTATGCAAATTAGTAAAATGAATGTGATGCTCTGCTAACCAATAAAATAATAAAAGGATTATTTATGGTTAAATAGAAATTATACTTTTATCAAGTTGAACATAAAGATACACATGTTTTGCTAATGGATTTATTGATTCATAATTATCAGTTACATTTATCTATCTGCTATTTTATTCAAGCAGTGGGCTACACAAATTTTATTTTCAACAGCATACTGAAAATTATTTACTTAAATCTATACTAATATTATAAATGTGTAAGTTTTTGAGAATGGATGGATGGATGTTTGTTACTCTTTCACACCAGACCATCTGAACGGATTTGGGTGAAATTTGGCACAGAGAAAGATTATAGTCTGGAATAGTACATAGATTACTTTTTATTCCAGAAAATGTATGGATTTGTTTTTGTCTAGTGACAAACCCAAATCGTAGCGAGGTTGAGTAGCAAGTTGGTATTTAATAAATATTCTAGTATTAAATTATATCTTCTACTTATTTTTATTAAATAGAGTAAGTATACATTGTTTTTTTTAATATATTTTGTCAATACATATATATTTTTTGTTAACCTATGCAGGATACTTGTACACCAATAGTGAATACACAATCAAGTCCACTTGGCACATACTACCTGTTCAACCATGTTGATTTGGAAATTACATACCACAGTGGTCGTGAAGAAGAGTGGGGTGTTGCTTTAGGTGATAATGGTGGTCGTATTATATCTGCTAAGGTAAGATGGCTAATGTATTAATAAGATTCTTTAAAATATAATATTAATATAAACAAATAAACACTGTTCAGACATGTTGGATTCATACAAGTGGTCTTATATTATAGATGAGTATTGCATTTTTAATGAGGATGTTGATTGTTAACTATGGAAATAGTTCCAGAGCTCTATTAATTATCTTGATGGCAGAATCGATAGCACGAAAGATAACAATCTATTATATATAGATTTTTAGATAATACAATTCTATGACATTTTGTAATATGTGTATCCTTGAGAAGTGAATATATTTAAAGAAAGAACACCAAATGCCCTCAATACGAGAGCTAGAAATATTGTAAACAAGATTTGTTACGGAGGTTCAGATTCAGTAGAATAATTGTATAATTACCATATGCAATGCATAAGCAAGTGATACAATACTTACAATAATAGTTGCTTGCAACTGAATTTTGCCAGATTATATAAAAAAATGATGTCATTAAAATAGTTTTAATTGTATTGAAGCATGGACAATCAGCTTTTGATAAAGTTATTTTGATTAATTAATACCAGAATTTATATTTTTATTAATTAAAACATTGGGTTGGCTAATTCTTTGTACTTTTGTTGTTTATGTTAGCTTAACATATACTAATATATACTTAATATATAAGAGGTAAAGTTTGTGAGTTTGTGGCGTTGTAGGGGTAATCTCTGGATCTACTGAACCGATTTAGATGAAATTTGGTAAGAAGATAGTTTGAGACTGGGAAGGACATAGGATACTTTTTATCCCGGAAATCATTCCTTAACAGGGTGAAAATGGAGATGAAAATTTGTATTGGGCAAGCTAGGGCGAAGCGAGGGTAAGTCGCTAGTAAATGATAAAATAATAATATGGGTTAACATTGTGCAATTATACAAAAGTATGATTTCATATTAACTTTTTGAAGATATACTAGCGTCTAGGGATTTATCTTTATCACTGGTATTCAGTTATAAATGGTGGACTACCTATTTATAACTCAAAATGAGAGGTTTCCCGATCAAAATGGTCACTTATGTTAGTTTGTCATATCTTCGGCCTAATTCGATAACCTGCTAAGTCCGTTTTTGAGCAATTTTACTTTTTATACCAGTCAAAAAGTTCAGACGATTACCTACATTATGTTAAAGGAATAGCGGCGATAAAAAGGTTAGAAAAATATCAAGGAAAGTTATAGGAATCAATTGTATTTTCAGAATATTAATTTCTAAAAATATCAGTAATTCAGTTTTTTAAGTTAGTTAGTTTAGTTAGTTTTTTCTTTTTCCGAGGAATAGATTTCATATATTATATTCAAATCTATTTAGATGCATAATGCATATACTTAAATTATGGGCTTATAATTTTGATATTTAAACCTGTTTTTATTAAGTGTACCAGATTATGAAATATAAATCTGTTTTTATTTTAATTTAAATTGCATAGAACAAAAGATTTTAAAAATATATACAGAGATATTAAATTTGTCTTTACTGGTCCTTTAAGATTAAGGCTAAAGTGTAACCAAAACCAAAAATAGTAAACTGCATGGCAAATGGTCTGTTACATAATTCCTTTGATATGTAAATGTTTGATTAAACATATTAACATGTATCGTACTTATTGTTGAACTGAACACGAATGACATCACAAACTACTTTTAAAACACATATAGATATAATATATACTTAATTTTTCAGGTGAAACCAGCTAGCATCAACCATCGTAACGTCAATAGCCTTGACTGTAATGCACGTAACAATCCCCTAGAAATACCTAACACACTCAGCGGAGATGAGACCTTTAACATTATATACACATATAGAGTGACATACATTAAAAACAACACCATTAAATGGTCGTCAAGATGGGACTATATCCTGGAATCTATGCCGCAAACGAATATCCAGTGGTTTTCAATATTGAATTCACTTGTGATAGTATTGTTCCTAAGTGGCATGGTAGCAATGATCCTGTTGAGGACCCTTCACAAAGATATCGCGAGATATAACCAGATGGAATGCGGAGAGGATGCTCAGGTATGTTTTTTTAAAAGAAATATCAATTTTATGGAAAATATCAATAGATTAAAATTAAGAGTTAAAAGCATCTATACTAATAAGAGTATTATAAATGTGGAAGTTTGTCAGGATGGATGGACGGATGTTTGTTCCTATTTCACACCAGAAAGGCTGAATTGGTTAACTGATCTGGATATTTGGCACAGAGATAGATTATAGTCTGAAATAGCACATAGGTTAATTTCATCACAGAAAAATGTACCGTTTATGAGGGATTTTGTTTTTGTTTAGGAACGAACTGTAAGTGAAGCGAGGGTGAATGGCTAGTATATAATCAACACATAGATGTTATTTAGGTTTAAAGATGTTTAATTGAAAAAAATAAGTGGTCTTTAGTTTTTAGGGTCCCAAAGCCAAAAGCGATTTTTCCCGAATGAAACCTTTATTGTTATACCATGTCCATACACTGCTATTTTTTTAGAAACTATTGATATTATTTTTTTATTTCGAAGAGAAGGGAAAGTCTTTGTCCAGTCTAATCACAAATTAGAAGAGAACGTGTGTGTGTACTTATGTACGTACACATGTAATAAGTTATACTTCTTTGGCGTAACAGAACAAACTAGCTAAAGATTTGTAAAAGGAATGTAGCTAACTTCATTATGTCGCTTTTTGACTGTCGGTGTGCCCGCGTTTCGTAAAAATATTACTCATAATTTTTTCCAAACGTGGAAATTGAAGTATCTTTTACTTTTATTTCTCTTTATTTAAAGGAGCTTTATCACTCAGTGATTATGTCGCCCCCGAAATAAAAATTACATATTCTATTAACACATTCTTAATTACAATTTCCACTGTAAACCTATTCATGGCGTTGTATGGCGAATAGCAATGTACAAAGCATCCTTGCTTGCTCCGATAAGGGGCAAGCCAAGATACTGTTGCACAGACCTACTTCATAATTTTTAATAAAAATATGTAGACGTTCATCCGAGTTCCGTTCACATTCCATCAAAACATGTTGTATATCATCCATGGTTCCACATATTTCACACTTTGGAGATTCCGATAAACCCATTAGATATGTAAATTTGTTTGAAGGAATATGACCCGGTCTCAACCTCAATAAAGCGACCACATATCTTCTTCCTATTTTGTCAAACCACGGGTGATACCTATAACTTAAAAAAAATACAAATTTGAGAAATAAAAATTTTGAGTGTGCTACAAATATCTCTATAACATACCTACTTTGGAAAGGTAGAAAAAAATTAATAAATATGTATAATATATTTTAAATCAATATTTGTTTAGTTAACCGCTACTAAAATCATAAAAAGCGTTTCAAATTCATAATACGAATATAATGCGTGATGGATATTAGTGTATCAAAGCATAATACATTTTTAATAGCAGACTAGTGACTTAACGTTCAATATTTTCCAAAAGAACTTTTATATGGTCTTGGATATGTTATATTAGTTAATGTATAGGCAATTATATGTACATAATTATTCATTTGTATTACTTTATAAAATGTATGATTTATTATTATACATATTTAAAACAGTGCAGTGGTAGAGCCCACTGGTAACGCGCTCGCTTGGAAAACCAATTGAAGCGGGTTCAAATCCCACGTCTCGCACCTGTGATATTTTCACTTGTGTTACGGTGATGAAATATTAATTGTAAGGAAAGTTAGAGGGAACCTAACAAGTTTTCATTTGTAGTCCACCAACCCGCACTTGGCTAGCGTGGTAGACTATGGAATGATCCCCCTCACATTGAAAGGAGGCTCTTGCCCAGCTGTGGGAATTAAAAAGGATTGAATACACACATTTAAAACAATGGTAAACATTATTGTGCCTTTTCCAGGAGGAGTTTGGTTGGAAACTTGTTCATGGAGACGTATTCAGACCGCCACGTCGCGGCATGTTACTTGCAGTTTTCCTCGGCTCGGGATCACAGGTATTTAAATATATAATTATTATTTAAAAAAAATACCAGTGCCGGAAACTAACGTCATCTGACAGTCACTATTTTAATTCGTATAATGTAGTGTTTATATCGTGTTTTGTCCATTCTACTTGACATTCGCGAAGTAATCTGTGCTCAACTGACACCATTTGGGGTCATTAACAATTGAATTGATAGTGTTTATAAAAATATAGATCAATCAACCACAGATAATGAAATAAATATAACTATCATTACTGTTTTGAAATAAAACTATTTTTCGCTGTTTCAAATGCTGTACTAGAAACATGGGAGATGCCATGATTGGAGAATTTTTAATTTTAAATGTCAAATTTTCGCCTATAATTATAATATAGTAAGTGTAAGAATCACTTAAAAAATGAGTACCTAAGCGTCCATGTTTTTTTTCGGAAATGAGATAATATTTGAGTTCTTTTTTTCCAGAAAATACACATAAATATATATGCCTATATGCTTAAAAATCTAAATCTTATCTAAATACAAAATTTGATTCGAATCGTTAGATTCCAATTCCAAGTTTTTTACATGTAAATACATAATATGTGCTTACCATGTATATACAATAATTGCTCATTTAATATGATACGATAATATAATAATTAATAATATTTTTCCAGGTGTTCGGCATGACCCTAGTAACACTGGCGTTCGCGTGCCTGGGCTTCCTGTCACCGGCCAACCGCGGGGCTCTGATGACGTGCGCGCTGGTGGCGTGGGTGCTGCTCGGCGCCGCCGCCGGATATGTCAGCGCTAGAGTGTATAAGAGCTTCGGTGGACGACGATGGAAAAGTAATATACTGCTCACCTCTATGGTTTGCCCGGGGTATGTATTTTTATGTTATTTTGGATCGTTCGCGTATGTGTGTGCTAAATATAATGATATATTTTCTTTTTTTCCTTTTCTCCCTCAATGTTTTACATGTATTTTTGTTGATGAATGTTATGTATACTTGTTATTGATATACATATCAGTGAGTGTGTTACTTTTCATATAATTTAGTGTTAATGTTAAATATGTATATTGTAAGTGTGCTTAAGAAATATATAAATAATAAATAAATAAATCATCATCTCCCTGCCCATTTCCTAATCACATGGGGTTGGTTGATAGGATATGGCAAAAGTTTTACGACCGGCCGCCTGCCTGACATCAACTCTCCTTGGGGATGATGTTTGTCGTGGACGTCTTGTAATATGTACATTCGATATTGTTTTCTTTTAAAACATTTTTTATAGTATTACTCGAAAGTTTAAAGTGATTTTTCTGATATATTTTGAAATAAATTTAGAACACACAATAAAATTTTGTTTTGACATTGTTATTTTGAATATAATTGATTCTATGAAGTCATAAATATTGTTTTTATTATTTCCTTCCAGTGTGGTGTTCTCACTGTTCTTCATAATGAACCTGGTGTTGTGGGGCAAGGGCTCATCTGCATCGGTGCCTTTCTCCACTCTGGTCGCACTCCTGGCACTCTGGTTCGGTGTATCTGTGCCTTTAACCTTCATCGGAGCTTACTTTGGCTTTAGGAAACGGGTATGGCTTCTTTTTATTTCTATGTTTTGATTTTTTTAAAGTGATTAATTCAAATATGTAATAAAAAAATTTAAGGAGTTACAATTACATAGTTAGAATAATTTCGAATGGCATAATAATGATGATGCTTACGTACGTGAGTGTACTATCTATGTCACAATCATAGACTATTAGTACTGCGAATTTCGAAATCAAATAAAATGAAGAGGTAGCTCTCTACATATATATAGTTTGCATCTATTTAAACATTTGAAATAAATATCATTTTCTGTGCACAATTTTTTTTTCTGTAACTGTCCCAGGCCAATAGGTAGCAAAATATCGTTTAATTAGGCTAATAATATCATTCACGATCAGTTACTTATATTACTTATGACAATTTTCTTTAGAAAAGTATATTAAAAATCATTGTGTAGAGGTTAATCTTCTGTCTGACCATATTACAATAATTATGTAATTAGAGACTTACTTTTTGATACGCTGTTACTATAGGTCATAGCCTATTTGTGTACTTTTCATCCAAACCAGTTCAGCCATTTCATCATTAAAGATTAACAAACAAACACACACAAATGTCTCGGAAACCCGTTCAATTTTTAAACCAGTTTTGGTTATTGACCCCAAAACGAAAAGCTTTACGTTGTAAGGTTCGATTACGTTCTTTAACCGGTTAAATCCGGAAGAACTGTTTTGAGGAATTTAAGTCCCATGATCAAAATTAACCGGTTAAAATGAGTTTTTGTGTGTTTACATTTGGCGCGTCTTTTATTTCGGTATCAAAACCGAAAACCAACTTTTCTCTAAAAATAACCGATAACCATTATTATTTCTATTTACTAAACCGTTCGTTTTCATTTACCGGCTAAAGAACGAGCGATGAATTAACCATTACGTTACTTAAATAAACCGTTTTTTAATTAGGCTAATAATATTATTCACGATCAGTTACTTATATTACTTATGACAATTTTCTTTAGAAAAATATATTTAAAATCATTGTGTAGAGGTTAATCTTCTGTCTGACCATATTACAATAATTATGTAATTAGAGACTTACTTTTTGATACGCTGTTACTATAGGTCATAGCCTATTTGTGTACTTTTCATCCAAACCAGTTCAGCCATTTCATCATTAAAGAGTAACAAACAAACACACACAAATGTCTCGGAAACCCGTTCAATTTTTAAACCAGTTTTGGTTATTGAACCCAAAATGAAAAGCTTTTCGTTGTAAGGTTCGATTACGTTCTTTAACCGATTAAATCCGGAAGAACGGTTTTGAGGAATTTAAGTCCCATGATCAAAATTAACCGGTTAAAATGAGTTTTTGTGTGTTTACATTTGGCGCGTCTTTTATTTCGGTATCAAAACCGAAAACCAACTTTTCTCTAAAAATAACCGATAACCTTTACGATTATTTCTATTTACTAAACCGTTCGTTTTCATTAACCGGTTTAAGAACGAGCGATGAATTAACCATTACGTTACCTAAATAAACCGTTTTTTTAACCGAGCCCTATACTAGTCGGAATAATCAATGAAATATGCTTTTTTAGATCCTGGAGCACCCGGTTCGTACAAACCAGATTCCCCGCCAGATCCCAGAGCAGTCGCTGTACACGCAGCCTGTACCCGGCATCGTTATGGGCGGAGTGCTGCCATTCGGATGCATCTTCATACAGCTGTTCTTTATTCTCAACTCGCTATGGTCCAGTCAGGTTGGTTTTGTCTGTATTATTCTGATAGGTTTTTTAGGGTTCCATACCCAAAGGGTGCTAACGAGAAACGGGAACCCTATTACTATGCGTCCGCTGTCCGCCCGTCTGTCTGTCAGCAGGTCGTACCTCATTTACCGTAATTTATTGATGCTATAACAACAAATAATTAAAAACCAAAACGGCATATTTAATAATGGACACCATGCAAATAAAAAAAAACGATTATACTGGTACTGGTCAGCGTGTTCAGTCCTATTAACAATAACATACGAAAACGAAAAAAAGCCATGATGCCGAAGTAATATAATATAAAAGAATATGATAGTTACATACATATATCTTTGTATGGAACACTTCGTATGCGAGTCCGACTCGAACTTGACCGGTGTCTTATTAGTATGCAACTGCTATCCTTTTTCATGATATAATTAACCAGTTTGTTACGTAATATTGCTTACCCCTCTTATGCCCGATTTCACCAACAACCCATAAGCTACCACCTACGTATGGGATCCCTAGCTTAAAAGTCCCCTAAACTAGCCCCTAAATTAAATTTCATTTTACGATCGTCTTTAAGCCCATATTTCGAGCACTTAAATTTAGGGGACCTTTTAATATTTAGGTGACCCCTAACTGTCGGTGAAACAGAAACTGTCCCCTAACAGCCCCCTAACCATGCTTAGGGGATCCCTTAAACTTAGGTGACGTTGGTGAAATCGGGCATTAGACTTACTAAATAACTAAAGAGGAACAAAATGGACACATACAGTGTGGTAGAGTATTAATCTTTATAAAGACATCAATTGTTTCATACGATTTGTATTTTTTCGATAAACAATTCAGGATCTATGATTAATTACAATAAAACATTCCAGATGTACTACATGTTCGGTTTCCTGTTCCTCGTGTTTGTGATACTTGTGATCACATGCTCGGAGACCACTATATTGCTGTGCTACTTCCACCTGTGCGCTGAGGACTACCACTGGTGGTGGCGTGCCTTCCTTAGCTCCGGATCTACTGCAGGATACCTCTTCATATACTGCTGCCACTACTTCGTCACCAAACTGAATATTGATGATGCTGCTTCGACTTTCCTATACTTCGGTTACACATTCATTATGGTATTCTTATTCTTCTTATTGACTGGAACCATTGGCTTCATGGCCTGCTTCTGGTTTGTAAGGAAGATATACAGTGTCGTCAAGGTCGATTAGTAAGCTAGCCGTTGGTACAGTAGAGGACTGGTTCGATTATTTATCATCAGGTGTAGTCTTTGTTTTTTTTTTAATATTATTTTTATATTGAAGTGATTGTTTAGTAAAAGCACGATTTTGAATATACTTAAAGCAAAATTATAATGTTTGACCTTAGAATTATATATTTTAAAGTAGCTCGAGATGGAACACAATGGATGCTACGAAATATTGTGGCATGAGACTGCTGTACACAATGTGATTAATTGTATAAAAATTTCTATCATAAATAAACTGATAGTCATACAGACGTTATAATGTCCATTTATTTTAGTCCTAAGATTAGGTTACTTTTATACCCAATGGGGAAATAATTTTTTTTATTAGAATAGTTCAAAATTTTATATGTTACCGGCCAAACTGGTTTGTCCTAGGCCCCACCGGTTCAACCAAAGTGTGTCAGGATATACTAGTTTAGCCCAGATAAAATACTAGATACTTTCGGCTTAACTAGTTTGGCCTAGGCCAAACTGATTTTGAGTTATTATTCAGCTGTTTAGTATATGGGATGCGGCCTCTGGAGGAATGAGTGGGTGGTATTATTGTGACAAGCCCGACTTGGATAACGTATTACGTAGGTTGCCTTCTCGTTAGGTCTTTTTTTACTTCTAACCCAGAACCCCCAATATCATAAGTGCTATGTTATTTTAATCAGTTTGACTTAGGCCAAACTAGTTACGCCTAAGGTATTTAGACCAAACTAGATTGTTCTGGGCTACTAAACTTGTATATTCTGACACACTAGATAAACCGGTTGGGCCTAGGACAAACCATTTTGGCCTGAAATCTAGTTTGGCCTGTAACATCTATATAAAATCGTGAATCATTTATCTGGAAATAATATTTTTTATTAATGTAAATTTTATAATATTTTACTTATATTTTACTAAATTATGGCTTATTATACTTTCCCATTGGACACTTAGTTTTATTGTAAATAATATAACACAGGATTTGGCCGTTATAAAGGACTCCTGGGTCTAGTTTAATTAGCAATTTTAATTATTCAAAGAAAAAAATATATTTGAAATTGACTACGCCAGACCCTGCAAATGCAACGCTAATGATATTACAAAATACTACAATTTATATTTAATCGTCCTGTGCAAACTAAAACATGCACAATTTAACTATGATTGCCCGAAGTGAAACCTGTCTGATTTTTATTGATTGAGAACTTAGTCAAAATGGTTCACTGAAAAAAAGTTATTTTGATATAAGTAGGTATGTCTGTTCTCAGATATTTTTATTAGATATGATTTTTTCATGATTTCCGTAACTTATTTCAATCTACTAACGAGTATAAGTTAGAATATGGGTGACGATCGAAACTGACAATAGTATATTTGGATGTGAAGACAGTTTTGGCAATTCAGTATAATATACCTTTAGGGCTAGTGCTATGCAAAAATAATATTTTGAAATAGAGTGCAATTTGTAGTTAGTTGTATGGCAGAATAGATTTTATTGATGTATTTAAATATAGCATCATTTTTCACTATTAAATCGACTGTCCCTAAGTATCCACAGTATATATGAGAATTGTTTTTCTTTCATTATATCTGGAACACTCTAAATTTCTTCTGAAATCTATGACTTATTAATAATTATTAATTTTGTTATATATATGAGTGCGGTTTTTAAACAACTTAGGGACGCTCGGTACAATAGTGAAGTTTTACGTATAACGTATTTATTTTGTCAATTAACAATGATTTTTTATATAAATGCTATATGAATATTTTTTCATATCCCAGCCCCATAAAAGATGGAAAAAAATGTAATGTATAAAATGAATATATCAAATTAAAGAAATAAAACACTAACGACACGCATTTAACATTATTCTTTTTAAACACACTGTTAACAAGAGTATTAAAAATATGTACAAGAGTGATATGCCACTATGTCAAATTTCTTTGAATTCATCCAATATATTTGTTCAAACTCACATTGGACAGAGTAATTCGATTGGTGGCAAACCACCCAAATTGCGAATGTTTTTAATTCATATTATTCTATGGATTTAAGTAAGAACATTAAAAATATGCTGTAGGCATTAATATTAATTATTTATGTTATTCTATATGTGATTATTTGCTGTATTTCGAGTGTTACTTTTAGGAATTTATTTTCATATAACATTAGTTGTGTAACATTCAAACTGTGCTTTGTCACTTCAAACAGTTGAATGTAAACAATAAATTGACTATTTTATAAACTCATTTTATTTATGTACCAATTCACAACCTATAGTCATGCCAATTGCCACTTTACTCTGCCAGCGAAAGGTTTCTTGCTTCTGCTGCTCTTCATTAAATGACCTACCAAATTTTGGAGTTAATAGGTAAAACAATATGAAAGAAAATATATCTCACAGCAATTCCCATTTCATAATTCTCAGTCACTGTCACTTTCTGATAACTCAGCTTCCTCTTTAGGCGCGGGTTGTTTCCTCTTCGTTGTTTTCTTTTTACAATCAATCTTTGTTTTGCGAAAAACTTCAATTGCCTTCAGTTTATTTTCTAACAAGTGTTGTTTGTCCCTTTCTCTTTGTGGGATTATCTCTTGCACTCTATCGCTTTTTGGAATTTTAATATCAAATTTGTTTTCAGTACTTTTAATTAAAGATGATCGAACAACTTGTTCTATTTCTGTTATATCTTCGTTCTTACTCTGCTTTGCTTTAGAAGGACCCGCTTTGGCACAATCATCTACGTTTTTATTCTTAACCGCTTTCCTTTTGTTAGCTTTCGTAACTTCTTTTTCATTTGATCCTTGCATTGGCATTTCTGGACCCATTTTTTGTACCGCCGCTTTAACTCGTTTACTCATTTGATCCTCTAATGATTGGAAATCTATTTTTCGTTTAAAGTAATCATGTACAGTTCTTTGAGTCTTGCGTTCGAGCAGCCTCTTAAGTACAGGCTTAATAATTTCGTCTAACTTATGTTGAGACCAACCAAACTTGGACTTAGTGTAATCTCTTAGTATTGTGATATCTATTTCGCCCCATGTAAATTTTTCTTCACTTCTTTCAATATTTGGCTCTAAGTAAGCTTGGACGACCTAAAACATATAAGAAAAATAAGAAATGATAAAACTAAATTGATTTTCGATTATTGCAATTTAATAAATTCAGCATGTTTGAGACTGATATTATCTGCAGTACTATAATTCGCAGAGTTAATATCGCACTATATTCATTATAATAGTAAAACCAATTTAAAAATAAAAAATCGGACAAGTGCGAATCTGACTCGCACAACGAGGTTTCCGTAGCAACAAATATTAAAATAGTTCTTTTTAATGTATTATTTTTCCCTTTACTTGTGTTAACAAGAATATTGCGTCATGCCAAATTTCATTATTCTAGGTCAACGGGAAGTACTCTATAGGTTTTGATTCCCTTGTGAGCATTAACGGCCCTATATTTTGTGTCCGTTGACTTAGAATTTTGATTTTTTCACAGCTCCAAGAACCCTAAAATGTACTAAAATAAGTAAAACTTATGCTAAAAAGTTAAAAATAAGAAGAACAAGACAAATATTTGGATAAAGTGGGGATGGAGAAGAAGTTGATGCGTCGTGGTATAGTTTATCAGCAGGAAATTCGCATCAAAAAAGGGACTTATGAATTGCTTAGTGCACAGTAAGTCACTGCACTTGATGGATTGTTATAGACATTTTCTTTAATGTAAAAATGAATCGCTGAATGTGTTCAAATCTCGGGAGCAGCTGAACCGAATTCGCTAATTCTTTTTTTAGAATATTCCTTGAAGTACAAGGATGGTTCTTATGGAGAAAAATTTAAAAAAATCATGATTGAGAAACAACACTTTTCTATACTCCATTATAAAAGATTCATAATAAATACTTAAAAGTCAATTTGAACTTTAATACCATACCATAAAGTTTAAGTTTTAGTGGAGAGGTTCCAGGAAGACAAAACAATTGAGTTATGTTAGTAATTAGTATCATATAAATATTAATGTCAATATTTGTCAATATTATTAACAAAAAAAATAATAATATGGTTAACGCTGGCTAATAACTATTTATATCTATTAAAAACGTACCTAGCGACAAACCCGACTGAAGCGAGGGTGAGCCGCTAGTTTATTATGAAGTTACTCACCCTAACACTGGGAAAATCATCTGTAAGTTTAATATTTTTGAGTTTCTTCTTTAAGTTTATATTATCTGTTCTCTTTCCAGCTCTCACCCACTTTTTAAATTCTTGTAATCCAATGACTAACTCCTGATAAAGTGCCTGCTTATTTGGATATTCATTTTGTAACTTTTTCTTATTGAAGGGGAAGGATGCCAATATTTCTAAAGCTGTGACTGGACCCACCCCCTGTACTCCAGTTGTGTAGTCACTTCCAACCAATAAAGCTAGAAGTACTAGCTGTTCACGAGTTAAATCTGTAAACAAATTAGTTTTATACATTTAATATTCTTTTGATCTAAGTAAAATAACTATTTTTAAATATTATTGTAACTTTTGAAAAATACGAATTTTAGAATTTTTTCTATAGGCATTTAATAGTACTGATTAATTCGAAAATCTTTCTCGCTTTTTTAAACTCGTACAGTGGTTGAAAGTGTGGGCAGTTTATATCAAAAAACAATTAGTGATATAGGCCAATTATTATTTACTTACTAAAAGTCTTTTCAATTCTCTCACTCAAGAATTGTAGGACATGTTTTTTCTGATTGAAAAAGTTCTTATATACAGTTCTGCCTCCAAACAACCATATATCACTATCGTCTGTAATAGTTCCATCTGTTAATTTAACACTTTCCAGAAACGCACACTGAGCTTCAGCCTCCATGGGAGCTATAATGTATGGAATTCCAAAAACTTGGAGCAGTTCTTGCGCTTCTTTAGTCATTTGTTCCGTAATATTTCTGCCAATTCGGTCTAAGCGACCTTTCTCTTGTATTAAACCTTCCTCCTCAACTTCAATTTCAGTAGCCATAGAGTTTAATTTTTCCTTTAATAGTACGTTATTTTCTGATGTCTTAGATGTTTTATTTGAATCATCAGTTTCTTTATTATTAATAGTAATGGATTGTTCTTTTTGTTTTGCGTTGCTTTGTACAGGCTTATGCTCATCATGTTCTTCAGCAATAGGTGTACAAATTGTTGTTATATCTTTATTTTCTATATTATCTTCTGTTGGTTTTGATTTTGATATGTCTTGATTATCTACAATGTTTAATTTGTTTGGCATTTTTTCATTTATTTTTACGTCCACTACAGATGTATCAATATTATCAACTTTAATTGTAGCCAATTTTTCTTCATCAGTGGTGGCAGATGGTAAATTTTGTATATCTTTTTTATCAGTTTTGTCAAATATATCGGCAAAAATATCATCTTCTAATTGAGCTCCCATATTAAGAGTTAACTCAATAATTGGTTTCTTTGACTTTTCATCACTATCAGAAACATCTTCAAATTCATCTTCACTAGAACTAGATTCTTTAACAGATTGTTCAAGGGCAGATTTTACTATTTCTATTTCAGTTGAAACTGATTCATGGACATCTTCCATACTTGTGTCCAGAGATATGACTTCATCTGTAGAATTTTCCATACAAACTATTGAAGCTTGAGTATCATTTATATCAACTTCTTCATTTCCTATTACTTTTTCTTCAATATTTGTATTAGCTTTTTCATTTGGTATTTTCCTTTCATCAGGAACATTGCATTCTCTTTTCATGCCATTTAAATGCTCTATTTTGTCTATTTTCTTCTCAACAACATCATCATCTGAAGACATTAAGTCAACATCATCCTCTATAATCGTTTTTTCCTCATTAAGCTCTTCTATTATCTGTTCTATGTTTGACTCCTTTTGTTTTGATTTTTCTTTTTGTTTTCGTGTAACCAAGTTATCTATCGCTTTATGTGTAAAATCACTATATTGCATTATGTATGCTTTAGCTGAAGTCATATCTGGCTGTTCAAAGCCATCATTATCATCACTGTAATCAGAATCTGTTAAGCATGATGTCCATGAATCATCTGCTTTTGAAGTAGAGGCACTAGTGTCTGGATCTTCTACACACTCCAAAGACATCTTTATAGCTTTCTGCAAATCATCTTCAAATTCATCGTGTTTGGTAGAGGTTTTTGCTTCACTATTTTTTTGATTTTCCACTTCATTTTGGTCTTTTTGTTTTAATGATTCCTTCTTTTTCGCATCTTCTAAAGCTTGTTTAACATCACTTATAAGTAAATATCGAGTTGTATTATTAGAAGCTATACGACGACATGGTAAGCTTTCTACTTTAGTGTCAATGCCCTCTTCATTTAGTAATGATTCGAGTTCATTTAAAGACATGCATCCATCACCCATTTCCTTCTCAGTTTCTTCTATGCATTCTTGCAACTTCCGCCTCTTAAGTAACCTTTGCATCTGAAAAGTATCAATACAATAATATCATAAAACAGTAGTTCTTAATAAAAATATAGAGGTTATGCATAAAACTTACTTGAAAATCAGAAAAGTTATCACTTCTCTTTGGTAAAGTATGTAATTTTCCCCATGAATTCATTTTTCTTGTTTCTTTTAACTCCACAAGCAAATCATACTTTTCTTTCAAAGGTAAATTTTTGAAATTATTAGATTCAAGATCAATTGTATGTAAATCTATTGATGAAGTGCTTGTTGAGCTTTGGCTTGACTCATCTTCAGATCTGTAAATGTTTTTCTCTTTGATAATTAAAATTCTATATAAATCTCATATAATTTTAAAATTTATTACATACTCAGATTCAGACTCCGATTCTCTTTCAGGTAAGGCAGGTAGTTTGAAAATATCATCATTATTTTCAACTTGTTTATTTTTCTTTGGTGAAATTTGTTTACCTAATAAGGCATTTATAGCAGTCTTTTTTCCCAATAAAAGTGCTATTTCTCGTTTTAATTTTTCTGATTGAGAATTATATTTTGATTTGTTATCTTGCCGCTTAGCCTAAAATTAATAATGCCAAATGAATTCATATACATATATAAAAATAATGGAATGTGGAGTTCATGTAATGTTCATTTAATATTTTTATATAAACTTTTGCTATATATAAACAGTACAGTAATCTCGTAGGGCCTATATTTATGTATTGTTTATACATATGATGTAGATGAAAGTCACTTACAATAGTTTCTTTTTTCAAATCGGGAAATGCACCATCAAAAACAAAAACAGGTTTGATTCTAAAATATAGTAATTTACAAAGACGTTGGAAAAGCCCCATCAGGTGGGCATTCGGAAGAGGAGCACCTTTGGCATCTTGATATCCTTTAACCATCTGATGCAACCATATAGATATATCTGTATTGACATAAATTTAGTTTAAATTTTGCATCAAATATTAATGATTTCTAAGCATTTTAGTTTCTAAATTACCTACCAACAGCAAGAACTTTGTTTTCAAGAGTTTCTACGGGCACAGGTTTGCCGGCGGGCTCAATCAGGCGCCACAGCCCAGTGACTCCCATCGCGTGTTATGAAATTCCAGAACTGATTTTTTGTTTAACAAATCTATATAGCAATGTACATAACAAAGGTCGTTTCCCACGAGATCTCCGGTCAATCGTCGGTCTCTTCCTCACACATCGCAACCTTTTCGCTCCGTGAACTCGACTTATTTATCACGCACACAACAACAATTCGAAATAATGTCTGCTACTGGCGCATGCATTCGTAAGTGTTCGGTTCACTACATACAATATCAAATGTTTTACTATACCGCGACGCCCACTCTTTCCCACACTTTATTTTCTCACGCCCCGTGCGTAACCCCACATCCTATGACCGGCTGTCTGTAGTCGACTCGTCTCGTCGTGCCGCAGTCGGCCTCGCATCACTCGATTTGATTCGCGCGCGTGTAATCGACAACACGCTTGCACATCACTCCGTGTCTATGGCTATTCTTGACAGTTCATATTTTTAGCGTTGTCGTATTTATACTCGAATAAACACAAGTTTTTTATTAACTTTTCTTAGAATATAATTAAAAAAGATTTGGCTTTTTATAATAATCGTGTGACAAGTTAATATTTAAAGTATTAAATAATAATCATGAAATACAGAAACATCGACTAGACCATCTGAAAATTCTTCCGTCGAACAGGTGTTATTGAATGTGTGTTATAGTTCCCATCGTAATTATTTATTTATGGTGTTGTGAATAATACAAGTGTATCGATTGATTGATCGCAGCATATTTATTAGTAAGAAACGGATACCATCATATCACCAAAGAGCTAATGATCTCTAACACGAAACTATACGGAAGACGCTAACGGTTAGAGAATATTGTTTACACGATGTTTTCCGATGTCAACTTGATCGTGTACCTACGATAATGATATAAGAAGAGCACCATGCACAGATATAATCATAGTTCATACATTATCATGTTCGAGTCAAGGTGAGAGTGAGCCGTGGCGAGCATGCCTCACCAGTACGGCGCGGGCGCGGGTGGCATGGGCGGGGGTCCTCCGTCGCCGCCGCCGCAGCACGGCGCGCTGTACCCGCGCTACGCCGCCGCCGCGGGCCCCGGCGCCGGCGCCTACCGTCCCGAAGAGCGTCGTCTTACACGCGAAGCCATGGAGCGCTACCTGCGTGACCGCTCGGATATGGTAGTTGTGATACTCCATGCTAAAGTCGCACAGAAGTCCTACGGTAACGAAAAGCGGTTCTTTTGCCCTCCACCATGTATTTACCTATTTGGTGATGGATGGCGGCTGAGAAGAGAACGCATGTTGCGCGAAGGGGAAACCGAGCAGGCCTCACAGCTATGTGCTTTCATAGGTATAGGGAATTCTGACCAAGATATGCAGCAATTGGACTTAAATAATGGCAAACAATATTGTGCTGCGAAAACTTTGTACATATCAGATTCTGACAAACGTAAACATTTTATGCTCTCAGTTAAAATGTTCTATGGTAATGGTCATGACATTGGTATTTTTAATAGTAAAAGAATAAAAGTAATATCTAAGCCTTCAAAAAAGAAACAGTCTTTAAAAAATGCTGATTTATGTATTGCTAGTGGAACCAAGGTAGCTTTATTCAATAGATTGAGGTCACAAACTGTATCAACAAGATATCTTCATGTTGAAAATGGCAACTTCCATGCTTCATCAACACAATGGGGAGCATTTACAATTCATCTGTTAGATGATAATGAAAGTGAATCAGAGGAATTTGCAGTGAGGGATGGATATGTCCACTACGGCTCTACTGTAAAGCTTGTGTGCTCTGTGACGGGCATGGCACTTCCTAGACTTATTATTAGAAAGGTAAACAAACTGGTAAATAAAGTCAAATTTATAAATATATATAAAAGATCTCAAGATAATTATATAAATTATATATGAATTTTAATTAATTAAATTGCATTAAAGTAGAAAAATAATGTTATAAAATTAAATTTTAATATATTTTCAAATGTCTCTTCTATATTCATATTTAAAATATACATTTAAGCAAAAAAAAAGCGATATTTTTATAATACTTCAAAATAATAAAATGTAATAAAACTAAAGCAAAGATAATATATCTTAAAAAAATGATTGTATAATTACGTAAAACCTTAGTTTGCCTTTTTAACCTTTAGAAAAACTATTTTCATCCAAATATGTTTATATACAGGTTGATAAACAAATGGCGTTATTAGAAGCTGATGATCCTGTATCACAACTCCATAAATGTGCATTTTATATGAAAGATACGGAAAGAATGTACCTTTGTCTTTCACAAGAGAGAATAATACAATTTCAAGCTACACCATGTCCTAAAGAACCAAATAAAGAAATGATCAATGATGGAGCATGTTGGACTATTATCTCTACCGATAAGGCAGAATATCAGTTTTATGAAGGCATGGGGCCAGTAAGGTAAGCAATAAAATAGGCTAAAAGAATAATTTAATACATATTATTGTACATTAATCTTATTGCGTAAAGAAATAATTATTTTATCTAATGAAAATTATGAAAACATATGTTAGTTTCGAAGAAAGAACATAATTCACTTAATTTAGGAAAATTATATTAAATAAAAAACTTATGCAACTAATCACGCAGTAGTGAGACTTAAATGAATCCTTAGAAAGTAAGTGGTTCTTTAATTTCATCTTAAATATATTAATAGATTTTGCATCTTCTACATATTTAGATAACGAATTGTATAGCAGTGCTCCTTCAAAGTTTTTATACCATATGTAGTTTTAGTATTTTGGTAACTCTAATTTGTTTCTATTTCTAGTGTAATGTGAGTGAGATTTGGTTTTAAACGAAAGCTGTGAGTGTAAGGCGTTTGTTATTATTTTTCGGATAAGTAGTATACATATTTTATATTGGTAGATACATATTTTGTTTTATTGACAATATTTTTGTTTTTTCCTAGTATAAATCCATAGGATATTCCTTGTCTGATTGCAACTAAAGTAAGTGTAGTAAAAATAAGGCATAGCCCCATCACCAATCTATAAGTGGCGTGCGAGTGGCGTTTTCCAATTTATTCTAAAATATTAAAAATGATGAGCATATTGACAAGTTCCTAATTAAAAAAACAGACTCACTAACTGTGACGAGTGTGGTCTGGTGTGATTAAACTTTTGATGGTAAATGATATGCTGTTTACACCATTGAAATTGTTATTAAATTAACTTACTATTTTAGAACAACAATGTTGTAAGTCGTCTATTTAATCCATGCAAATAATTGCATTGACAATATAGCAGCCAGCAGGCAATATAATAAGGGCCATTATAAACGACCAATTCCTTGATAGTTTATAATGACCCTTATTACAATTATAAAGACGACGGACAAACATGCAGAAAATAATAAAAATATTCGAAACTCGTATGCCTATCTACGATTATCGCCATGACTGGGAATCAAATTTTATTTAAGACAAGCAATGTCAATAAAAAATTAAGCTGTATTTTTATATTTCTAACTTAAAAGATAAAGTTCATAAAGGTCCATAAAGGTTTTCGTCCTCTTTCTTCCCCCCCAAAGGGGGTTAGCCTTTTGGAGATGAATTTTTATAAATCTTTAAGGTTCACCTTCTTACTAAATGGAAAATTTCAACCTTTTTGGAAAAATTCATGCTTCTAGCAAAAGTTGTCAAAGGGCGTGCGTTGTCTGTCTGTTGGTCAATGTACCTAAGTTTTATTCAGTAGATAGATTAATTATTAACTAGGTGTTTTAGTGGTAAATATTTAAAATTATTGAAATAAAAAAAAAATTTCGTTTATGTGTTTTAAAATAAAAAAATTCTAATGATGTTTGGTATCATAGCTTCTGTCTTTATAATATACTAGCAGTACCCGCGACTTCGCTCGCGTCATATAAACAGCAGTTTTACAATAATGTATGGAAGTCTGCCCGATTTGTTGACATTTATGATTACTGTTCCGCTCTCTTGGGTGATATATAGCCTTCCTCAATAAACGCGCTATCTAATCCAAAAAGAATTTTTCAAATCGAATCAGTACACTATAATTTACAAGGTAAATACTCTCCCAGTATTTTTAATAACAAATTTCCCAACACTTATCACACTAAAATATTTTTAAACGGAATTTAAACCGCAATTTCCTGGAATCTATTTATAATTTGTAATTTCATTGTTATAAAATTGATGTTTTTATCAAATACCTATCGTCTGTCACCATTCATATATGTAAAGTTATTAAACTTGTTTCTCATCGATTTAACAAATAAAATTTATCTGTATCATCGTTGTTTTGTGTGACAAATAATATTTGCTTTCGTTTCCTTATATCGTTTCGTATCAGGATGTCGTGAATGTGTGATCATGTGTGTATAACACATGGTTTTGTGCACATTTATGGCACAGTATCTTACAATTGTTATATCCATCCTTTTAACCGACTACAGTTAACGTGCCCTATATCTTTAAACCTAATCAATTAAATTCAGTCACGAAAATTGTCTCAGTAATTACTGAAGAGTTCTACTATTCACCGATAGTCTGACGACATGTTTGGCTCAGTTTGTAGTAACATTACTTGCTGTGCCAGCGGTTGCGGGTTTGAATCCCGCTGGGGGGATTTATTTGTGTGATGAGCACGATGTCTGTACTCCAGTCATGGATGTTTATATTTATAATATTTATATATTTAAAGTTATATAATATGTGTAGTGTATCAACTATCTGGTATCCATAACACAAGTATCGTAGCTTACCATGTAACTAGATGGTGCCGTATGTTAATGTCCCCACATATTTATTATTAGTCTTAATATATTGTACTGTCACGCGGATACTTACAAAGTTACAAGTTAGCAGTAGTTTAAAATTGATTTCTAAGATTTCATTACATTCAACTGAAGATAATAATAGTCGAGTGCAATTAGTCATTATAAATGAAAAATGACGGAACCTAGTTATAATGAATGATTTTTTTTTCTTTGGCTTTAATATACCATAAACTAAAAAGTTTACCCATTAAAAATTACAGTTTCTGGATATCTTCACAAAAAATACAATTATCGGAATTTTTAAATATTTATTTTGAGTAAATAATAGCTGTTATAGTTTTGGAAGTTGTTTATACAAGATTTGTTATATAAAACTTTAATAATTAACTGGTTCTATCAAGTCGTCCTTAGAAATTTATTTGGCTAACGCTGGCTAAACCTTAAGAGATATATCAAAACAATTATCTTCTAAGGTACACTCGCAATACATATAATAAAACAATAACTTAACGAAATAGATGTGCGCGTTTCATGCAAATATTACTGAACCGATTTTAGCTATACTTTGTGTAGGGATAACTTATTACTCGGGTCAACATTTAGATTACCTTTTACTGGAGGAAAATCTTTCATTCCCACGGGAAAACACAATAACTGGTTCTATCGAGTCGTTGTTAGAAATTTACATGTCTAACGCTGGCTAGACCTTAAAAGACACATCAAAACAATGTACTAGAAAATTGTAGGTCTTAAAAAGGCCTACAGAAAAATGTGCAACATCATAAGTCTTTCTCCTAAGATACATTCGCAATAACTATACATATCTACTTATAACTAGCGACTCACCCTCACTTCGCTCGGATTCGTCCCTAAGTTGATTCCCCATACACACTTTCATCCCCATTTTTACCACCTTAAGGGACGATTTCCGGGATGAAAACTATCCTATGTCCTTCCCAGGGTACTATCTTACCAAATTTCATCTAAATCGTTTCAATAGTTTCGGAGCCTATTCGGTACAAGCAAACAAACAAAAAATCTTTCCTCTTTATAATATTAGTATTTCATACTAACCGTCATAAGGTATCTAGAGAACGCGCCCGAGCGAAGCGAGGGTAAGTCATAGTGATTTTATATAGAAACTGAGTAATTCTCGAAAGAAAAAATAAATGTAGCTGTAAGAGGAATGTACTATACCTACTAGAAGTACCTTCATTTTCATGTGACAACCCTAAAAAAACATTAGCGGAACATTTCAAGAGGTAAACCTTTTAGTTTTTAGTATAAGAAATTCATAAACTCTAAAATCAATCCTTTCATATATTCATAGCTGGGTTCAAGGTATAGATAGGTATACCTAATTGCACCCAACTATAAATACATAACAAAATCTTCGACAATATTCGATGTTCATGCATCATTAGCATGTGTTGATTCTTTATCTATATACATACCTCTATCTTCTCAAATTGCAAATATAGTTTGTTACATCAATACAATAATGAGTGTAGGAATACAAACACATTATTCGAACTATCGGGGCTTGTGTTCACTGTCGACAGTAATGACGCCTAATGATGAGAATGAGGGGGGAGCTAGGACTCGACTGGAATGGGGACTCCGTCAATTGCTAGATCATATTGTAAGTTCTACGTCGGTTTTGCGTCTACTTTTGTATTATTTACGTAGATTTTATATTTAGCTAACTTCTGGTGAACCTTGTTCTTTCTGCCTCCGAATTACTTGTCCACATTACCTATTCATATCGGATTTCGTGTTTCAATTTCAATTTGTGAACAAATTTCTTGTTTTTTGCTACTAAATCTCCTATAAAAATGAACTTCTCAAAAACTTCTAGCATAACTGTGAACCATCGTTTCGTTATAGCAAGTATAATGTATGAATATGACCTCAATCGTTAAAGTTGTTTAAAAGATACACGATTAGTATTGAAACGATTACGACTCGATTTTATATCGAGAGAAGGTTGAAAGTTTTTTTTATGATCGATTTCAAAAAAAAATAAAAAAGCAACACAAAAATGTGTATATTTTACAAAATATTTTCACATACTTCAAAAGTGGTCCCATAGAGATTTCAAAACAAAATTTGTTATTATTTCTATTACTAAACAAAAAATAATTATTGTCTAATTTATTAACTATGTCTGTCTGTATAGTACCTATTATTATTACTTGATATTATTTTCTCCTGTTGTTGCACAAAATTACTGTCATTAAGAGGCAATCTGTTTTAAAATAGTTGTACAATAATTTTTGTTTTATGTCTTCAATATAAAAAACGCACGTGTACTTCAAAGGTATCTTTACTTAAAAACTAAATGGAAATGTATACGTAAAACATTTTTTGTACTTTTTTTCGATTTAGTTTTTAAAATTTAAAACCTACTATGCATTTTTTTACAACATGTCAGTAATGCGCTAGCATATCGTACCTATTTGTTCCCATATATCCAATACCTACTGATGAATCCTACTAATATTATAAATGCGAGTCTGGATGTATAGATGTATGGATGGTTCTTACTCTTTCACGCAAAAATTACTGAATGGATTTTAATGAAACCTTACGATAATATAGCTCATACATTAGAATAACACATACTCGTAGGCTACTTTTTATCCCGAAAAAATGTACGGTTCCCGTGGGATAGATTTGTTTTTGTTTTTCCTGACGGGAACCCGAGCGAAGCAAGGGTGAGCCGCTACTAAAATATATTTATGTACTGCATAAATAACACTCGGAAAACGTAAAACTTTATAATTTATACAAGAAAATTGTTATCAGATCACCTGTGACACCTGTGCCGTTAGTTCACTCGTTGAATCTCAATGGGGGCGGTGACGTAGCGATGTTGGAACTAGCGGGAGACAATTTCACCCCCTCCTTACAAGTTTGGTTTGGGGATGTCGAAGCGGAAACTATGTACAGATGTGCTGAGTCCATGCTATGTGTAGTTCCCGATATAACGCAGTTTAGAGGGCAGTGGTTGTGGGTTCGACAGCCTACTCAGGTAAGTTCATTTATCGTATTAAAATGAAAAAAATATATTAATCATATATTGTATATTAAAGACATATTGTTTTGCTTATTTATATACAGTGAATGTAATTTTAATATAAAATCAGTATGTAATATTTAAATATTTGGAGACTGATAAAATAGCAAATAAAATATTTATTTAAGTCGCACAACACGGAAATGTCACGTTCCCATGGTTTTGTGAATATGGTCAATTTTAAAATCAGTAAAGCTAATCTAAGATCCGCCATTAAGAAGTGATAACATTTTTTTTTAAATAGAATGTTGTATATAATTATAGTAAATATTTAAAATGTCGTTAAAAATCTTGACAGCCTTATTTTTCTTTTTATTATTCACATTATTAATATAATTGATTCACTTTAATAAGCATATTATAATTTATTATTTAATAACTTACAAATGAAAAAGATATTGTAATATCGTATCATTGAATATAAAATTCCAAACTATACCCGTACATTTATCAACATGCAACGCGTCGTCATCATTATCGACTGTAAATATCTGTGTGAAAATAATAACCTTATCTAAGCTTGTTCAAATATAGAAACCACAATAAAGGTCCATATTGTAATATTATACTATTTTTATGGTGTGGAGAGATAGATTATCTATAAATATTAATATCTTTACAAAAAAATGGACACGTTTAAATATTTAATGGACTTTAGAAAAACAAAACATTTTTCTCGCTCAAATAACGTTATAAGTTCTTAATATATGTACTCTGTTTGCTTTGTTCAAATTACAATAATTTCTATATTATCGTTATAAAACTTTGCTTGAGCAATCTGAATTTGCATTTTACACTTGAGTTATTAAAGTATTTTTTTTATATTTTAAACAAGTTTTTGTCCGCGGCTTCTCACATAGTATTTGGGACGGGATGAAAGCCTATGTCTCTTTCAATGATCAATCTACATACATATGTTCTTGTCAAATTTCATCGAAGTCTGTCAGCGTTTTAAGCGTGAAAACGCTACAGACAGACAGAGTTACTATAACATTTATATAATATAGTAATAATATTCACAATAGATTTTATATTAAAATTCAATATCATTGAGGTTCTACTCAAAAGGCTCGAACATAAAATGCTTCATATATTAGTTTGCATTCATACCATCGCTCATATTTCGCCAATCAGATATTTTGAGAAAGAACGCGCTGAGAAGTTAATACTTTCTCTTTAGACAGCAATATTTCTTCCTACCAAATGTAATAAATAAATCGTTTAAAGGTTTGTAAACTTAAAGGTTAAAATAAAATAAATACGAATGCATATGGTAATTTAAATGTCGAAACAGCCCATAAAAATTATAATCTAAGCAGCGTCGGCGTTATGAAACTATATATTTTCTTTTATGACCAATATAAAAGTTTAAATAGTAGGCAATAGTTTAGATATTCATGTGAAGTTGATATCATTGTGAAGGTGGTCTTAAAAGATGAAATCTTTTGTTTTAAAATCATTATGATTATACACTATATTTATTTTGAGTACCTAAGTAATATTTATTTATCACTAGCATTGCCAGATAACCAAAAACCAAATTCTGAGGTTTTACAGATTAGTATACTCTTACATTGCAGTTTTTGCATTTTTTTCTCAGAAATGAAATATTTTCCCGTAGTAAAATGTGTCATATATGTTGACCCGGATAACCAGCTATCACCATACTAAATTTCATCAAAATTCCTAGAGTGGTTTTTCTGTGATGCGGTAACCGACAGACAAACAGACAAAAATTCTAAAAACTATAGATTCGGCCTCTGTATCGATTATAATGTTTTTTTCAATAAGATTTTCCAAAAAAAATTTTTATCTAAGAACCTTACACGAACATTGTGCAAATAGCCAAATCAGTCTAACAGTTCTCATGTGTTGAGCTTAAGAACGAACAGAATTTGGTGGTCCAACCAAGGAGTTCCGACTTCCGAGTTCCGTCCGAGAATTAAATAAAAAGTTGTCAGACATGAAGCCTAATTTTAGTGCTATTTATTATAAATAAATATGTGAAAAATTATTTTTATTTTATATATATATTATATTATTAATATTTCATTCATCACATTAAATAGGTTTTGTTTTTGGTACAATAAATATTATTGAAAGTATTAATATTTTTCATATAATATGATTTGTTCTTTTAAGTCAAATCAGAAAGTATTCTAACTACAACACAATCAGTTTAATTATTATCAAGATGGATATCCGTTAAAAAAATTATGATCAGTTAGGGTTCCGTGGCCCAAAAAAAATGGGAACCGCTGATATAGGTATCCGATTTTTTTTATTGAGGCTGCTTTAGATTTTCATTTAACTATCTTCATTGTATCGGAAATAGGGCGTCCCTTATACCATAGACTAACAGATATTTTTAATCCTATTATTATACTAGCGACTCACCTTCGCTTCACTCATGTTTAGGTCCCTAGGTACGTTTTGACGCTTAGTATGTAATAGATGTTTTTTTTTCAAATTTTTTTCGTGAATTTTCCCGATGTTTTAATAGTTCTTCTGCTATTCGGGATGAAGAAAAATCCAACAAAACAAAGATCATAAAAATCGGCCCAGCAGTTCTCGAGTTATAAGTGTTGTAACAAACCCGACTTTGTTTTATATAAAGATTCTAAAAGACAATTTCTCATCCCCAGGTGCCGGTTTCGCTAGTTAGGAACGACGGTATCATATACGCGACGGGACTCACCTTCACGTACACGCCGGAGCCGGGCCCGCGGCCGACGTGCCCGCCCGTGGATGACGTCATGCGACCAGAACACGCATGGCACGACGCCCACCGTCTGCCTGATGCTTTACAGTAAATTTGTCATGTTATTTTATGTCAAATCTGTCATTTGTCAAGATCTTGTGTTGTTACGTCAACTGTAATGTCACGTCAGCTGTAATGACAAAGATGCAATGAAAGGCACAATTAATGTACCTAAAATTATTAATATCACGGTAAGTGTAATGAAATTGTAACGATTACATAAATTTTAACACCGTGTTATGTAACTGCGTATGACAAAAAAATTTTTAAAGAAAAAAATATATTTAAAAAAAGGCCACAAATTTTATAACAATCAAATATGTCATTTATAACGTGTCTAAAGCTCTTAAAATGAAAATTTTTTTTACATATATCTAATACTTCTATATTCAGTTTCACAGAGTGACTGAGATAGGAGATTTTGCTATCTTTATTCTTAATACTAGATCCGCTGTGCGTAGGTGTCCCTGTGTTGCTATAAATGGATATAGTTTAAAGAGAGAGAAACAAAGTACCAAAATAATATTGAATAAACAGAATAACCTTCATATATTTGGAACACAAAACTGTCGAGTTTCAGAGCTGCCTAACATCCATTTAAGTAACCTGTTGTCAAATTGATACTCTTGAACTTTTATAAACACTCCGCAAGTCATCTAATCGTATTCAAATGACAATTAATAATGGATTCCAACAAAGTATAACGTCATTTGACTTAACATAACTGTTTTAAAAAACAGAAAACGTATCAATTTATTTTTAAAACGAAATTAAACTTAGAGTAAATAAATATATAAGCAATTAAAGGCCTTATTAAAAAATTAAGGCTTACAATCAATGGAATTACACGTACAGAACTCAAAAATATTTGTCGTCCAAAAAAAAAGTTATTTCTATTTCATTTCTTACTGGCTGACACGTAAAAGGCCTTTTTGAATCCTTTAAAGAAACAAAAAAGGCCTATATATTAAAAGTTAAATGTGTAATATACATATATTTAATTGTTAATACACACTATGGCGAAACGAAAAATTTTGTATCATACAAAATGTGCCTAATTAATTAAGTCGATACGATTATGTTTTTCGAGATTATAACACCAAAACGCTATAATTAAGGTTATGGTAGCAATTTTGTTCTATAATGCTTTGTAAAATATAATTTTTTTAATTTTATTATTGTATAGTCTGTGCCCGTGGTTTGGATATAAATGAATATGATTAGTGTTAATTTAAAGTACTGGCATAAAATAGGTAGTTCCTAAGCTATCATTAAAAGCGCGCCAAGTTGAAATTAAAAAAATAAATAAAATAAAAATAATTACTTTAATTAAAAAGAGATCTCTCTGCTCTTGAATTTATTTCATCGGGGCCAAATAGCTGTAAAATCCATGACGAGTCATTGTGTTTATTATATTGCTATTAAGTGTCTGTAGGTTTATTGTGTTTTTGAAAATTGGACTTTAAGTCGTGACGAATTGTGTGTGGATTCGATTAAGTATAATCTGAAGGCATCTAGAAGAATGAGAGCTATATTACATTTAAAAGACGAATATAGGTAATAGGTAATATTAAAAAAACGTAATAGTTGTAAAAATGAATTTTGTACTTTAAAAAAAAAAACAAACAATTTATGGTCCGGTTGTCATAGACAAAAAAATATATTTGAAACGCGTGAGAATTTCTCATATTAAAATAAGAATCTTTGTTTCAAAGTAGCATTAATTCTGTTATTATGCGTTTATTAAGATATTTTAATTTAATTATAAGCTATGATAACTGGGCAATAACATGTTTGTTATATTACCAAGAGTTGACGGCGAGCTCTCGTCGCTAGGCCGCGGTATGTATGTATGTATATACATTACAACAAACTAATGAACAATGTAGATAAAGTACCTACCTAAGTGTAGCTGTTAGTTCATGAAATTTATAAAACAAAATTTGAAATTATATTTATTTTATCCATTATGCATGTTTCTTTGTACAATTCGATATCGATGTGTATTTATAGTGTGATTTCGAACATTCCAAGTGGAAAGTTTTATAAGTACAAAAAAATATAATATTTTTATAAAAAAAAACTTTGATGACAAAATGATTTTATGGGATCGATAGAGACAGTATTACAAGGAATTAGTATTAGACGCGATGAAGAATTATGCCGTCAATTTGTAAAGTAAGCGACGTTTCGGTTAGATGAATTTACTCGTGCATTTTTTATCATTTTACATTTGGTATTTCTACGTATAAAGATCATGTTTGAGAATTTATTGTTTGATGTAATTACTATGATGTGATATTATGGAAGAGTAATTAATTCTAAAACATGAATATTTTAGTAAAACTGAATTTAAATAATTTTTATTTCTTTTATTGATTCAACCTCTAACTTCTACTTCTCGAAAAATGTAACGAATTCAAGTTTTTTTTTATTAAATTTTTTTTTAAACAAGACATGTTATCAAAATAATATTTTAATATATACAATTTTATGGAAAAACAAAGTGCAAATAATAAAAAACGGTTCCCACGATATCTTTAATGACTTAAAAATCATAATTTATATGTTTTTAAAGTCTAGTAGGTAATTAGCTGATTACGAATCTGAGTCGATCGAGGAATCACTGTGGGAACGTCTTCAGAACATCTTCACATGGACTCTGGACGGAATATTATGAGCATACTTATTTTAATTTAGCTCTTATTGTTATAACGTTAAGAGCTATATATTAACATTTTTTACCGTCTTACGAGTCCCCTTGAGTTCCGCACCGCTGGGCCTGACCTCAGATAATCAAGTGTAATAGTCACACATTGTTTGCAGAGATTCATAAATCGGTATCATAATAAGTTATTAATGTTACGTTTTTAAGTAACTTGGTAATTGATATTTAAAGGTCAGGATATATGTATTTATCTGAGAGTATAAAATTTAAAGGTAAAATATTCCTTTATTGCATTTAAATTAAATATAGTAATTGAAATTTAAGATATTATTAAGTTTGTTTGCAAAGGTGGGCTTGTCTTCAGAATATCTTTTTCAGTCAACCTATGGTAGTGAGAAATAGTGTTATACAGTAAGCCAAAAACGTGGAGCTATAATGAAGTAAATAATATACAGATATTCAAATATGAATAGTTGAATAAATATTATATATAATAAATACCATACAATCTATAGGTACATATAATAAAATTGTAACTATGCCGAATCTGTACATTAAATATTTTTTGGAAAATCTTGTTGAAATAGACATTATTATCGATACAGAGGCCGAATCTATAGTTTTTAGAATTTTTGTCTGTCTGTCTGTTACCGTATCACGAAAAAAGTACTGGATGGATTTTTATGAAATTTGGTATGATAGTAGCTGGTTATCCGATATCTCATATCGAAATATCTCATCATTGAGAAATCTATACTAAACCTAAGAAGGGACAAACCCGAGCGGACCGAGGAGGAATCACTAGTACATACTATATACCATAAGAGTTATACATACAAACTATTACATATACAAATACATTCAGAGGTGGACCGTGAATTTGAGGGGCTTTGGGCTAACACTCCGTGAGGGTCTAAATATGACAATTAGTTTAATTAATTAGAATTAAACTAAATATAATTTTGTCTTTAAAAAATCTATAATGACAGATGATACTAGACGAATTAAAGATTACCCTATTGTTTGTTTTTGGTTAATAGATCTCGGGGTTATCTATGAGGCCAACTTTTTCACAATATTATCCATTGTTTTTTACAGAGACCCGTTGTATCTGAGGGGCCTTGGGCTGGAGTCCAAAAAGCCTAGATCTCCCCTAGATCTGCCCCTGAATACATATTTACATATATATATATATATTTACATACATACTTGTAATACGATACATAACTATACTATAATATTACTTTATATTTTATAATAATTTTCTCTCTTTTTAAAATGGGCTTTGATATTATTTTAGTTGACTTTTTTTTTAAATTACAACATCTAATTTTATTGAAAGGTTTCTTAAATAGTAAATTGTACAACCATATCGTGCGCGATCATATATAAATTTATACTATTATTATAAAGAGGCAGAGTTTGTTTGTTTGTTTGTTTGTTTGTTTGTTTGTTTGTTTGTTTGTTTGTTTGAACGCCCTAATCTCAGGAATTGTCTGTACGATAAACTCTAAAACTACCGCGCAGATACGGCGTACGGCTTTCATCAATGGATAGAAGATTCATGAGGAAGGGTTAGGTGTATAAGTCATTAAGGTTTTATGTAAATTGGCTGAAATATAACGAGGATTGTTGAAAATTTCTAAAAAAACCTGGCATCATGAAATCCGCGATAGCATATGTCTATCTTTTAAGGTGGACTCACAATGACTATTTCTATGGGGTCTAAAATAATGCTTTATTTGCGAAGGTGTTTTTTACTGACATGGTGTTAATTTAAATAAATACGTATGTTAGACAACTTAGCTCTTAATTTAGATCAAAACTGACCTATAAACTATTTAAATTATCTTAGAAGATATCACAAAATTGGCAGTGGCAGACGGGGGCGAGGAGGGTCCTAGCATGTTCTTTTCACGTATTTTAAAGTTAAATTTAGCAATTTTTTCGTGTTTTCTTTAGGTACATACTTGTTGTAGGGCTATACATATAGGGGAATTTGTTTTAATCCTGAAATATCCATCGGGTTCCAGAGCGAAAATTGAAAACCCTTAAAAATAGTCCAGATTTGAATTAACGTTTTATTAAAATTTCCAATGGATTCTTTTATTAAAAAACAATGAATTACGAAATTAATTGCACCTAGAGACGCAACCAAGCAAAGAGAGGGTAAGTCGATAATAATTAATACAATTCATCATTAGCGTGACTGATACACGCTATGATGCTCGTTTGTCAATATTAAGAAAGAATGCGATTTATTTAGAATTTGAAGTCAATGAATGCATGTAAACATGCAAACGCTTTGATAACCTATTAACTTTAATGGCCTTTCTACATCCTGTTCTACTCAGGTCAGTTATCATATTATTCTTTTATAT